GTTGACGTGTTTTATGTTTTGACAATATGTGAATGTGTATGTGTAAGATGTCATTGCAATTATAGAGAAACTGTAGAGGAGTGTAGAGAAAGATGGAAACAGAACAGGCACTCAAACTATGGACAGCTTCAGAGCTGGGTGGTAGAGATTCTGATATGATGGCTCTTCATTCTTTGCCTTACCCTGGCAAGCTTTAAGTAATAATATCCTGTAGGATTCAAGTCTTGCACTTTTTACTGTGCAAGAGCAAGTCTTGCTCCTTTTACAATACTCTATTCTGACTGGAACTCAGTCTATCTCAAACTGTCTAGAGTATTTAAGCACCACAGACCCTTTCCTTAGCTGGCAGAAGCGTACAGGCCATATACAGAGTGGTAAACCCCTTATTGGCTGGAGTCTTCCTCTGCAGGAACTGTAGTCTCAAGGATTTGTCTGACAGGGTGAGGCTCTCTGATGGAATTGGGGGCTGCATTGGTTCAGGCAGAAACTGTTCGTGACACTTGGATTTCTGGTAACCTAGCCAATATTCTGCATGGCAGTGTTGTTTGTTGGTAAAGTGTTTCTATGACTGAGCTTTCTCTGTACCAAGTGTAATAATTGCCTGTTGGTTTTTGTATCAATGTAGTTAAATATCACTTGAGATATGTAAAGCTTGCTGCTGTGCCTCTCACGGCAGTGATGACTGTCTGGAGGTAGCTTGTGCTCATACTGCTGCTCTACTTGAGAGCTTCAGCAGAACCTCTGAAGCTGGTGTCAATCTTACCATTAAAAGAAGTGTCACATGCCTGCAGGGCCTTATGCACACAATGTTCCAGTGAAGACAGTATTTGAGCCCTTATTTCAAGCAAATCGTCTTGATTTTTTAAAATTATTTTTTATTCCTTTTCTGTTAGAGGGCATCTGATCTTCTGTATGTGTTAATGGAAACAAAGGCTGTTTGGTGAGAGAAGAGTTCAAGTCCTTAACATTCACTTTAACTACCCAGTCCCTCTGTTGTGGTTCAGAAGTCTGTACCTGGCTTTCTTAGGAATTGTTTTTGCAAATTGATATGTGCTATAAAGCACTAATATCAAGCAATACTCATTCTTTGGTGCTTAGATTTGAGAGTGTTTCAAGTATGTGAACTGTGGAATGGAAAGCTTTGGGTGAATGCTGCCTAAGAAAGGACAGTTTGTACTTAGCACCCCTGGAAATGAGGCCACATGTGTTTCAAGGAGGTCCTGTTTTCTTTACCATGATTAGCCTGAAGGTCAAGTTCATTTTGGAGTTGTCAGTCTGAATTCTGAAGGAAGAGGTGGAAGTGCTTTAGATGGCTGACTGGGAAAATGTAGAGCTGTGTTCAGCTGCACATTGCCAGCACACGTGCTTTTTGAGGAAGTAATCTCTCTGCCTCTGTTACTGGAAGCCTTTGCCTCTTCAAGGATAATTCTGTAGAGTAAAACTTGACTTCGTGAAAAATTTCAGGGAAACAAGGAAAATAGCAACTATGGGAGTTGTCATGCGAATATTCCATGTTAATAAATGGAGAAACTATACTGGAGAACTACTACTGAGTTTCTCAGCATACTGTTTGCTACTTTTAATTTGAGTGTTATCAAAATAACTGATCCTTGATACTTAAGTAGCACAGTAGTGAGTTAACGTATATGAATGACAGTAACTTTTTTCAAATTATACAGTGTTTGCTTTCAGAAAAATCTTTGCAATGCCCTAGAAACAGTGGGGCCAGACTTTGAGGTGTATCCAAACCGATTTAACAGGGTTTGGTAGAGTTCCTCCTGACTTAGGCAGTAGTGTAATTCAAAAGATGACTTAGATGATTTAAGTTGCAGATATAGAGGAGGCATCTCTTATGTTTGCACACCTGTTTAAACATCGAGCTTCTGTAGTTAAGCAGGTTTTGCATAGTTAACAGCTGTTGCTTTAGGATAAAGCAGTTCTTGTTTGGTTTCCTGCATGTGCTCCCCACCACAACCTGTTCTGTGAGCTGCATACTTGGTGTCCTTGGAATTGGGTATCAGGCACTCTTTTGAAGGTAATATGGCTCTGATTGGGGCTGGTCAGAGCCCCTTCGCTTTGCAGATATTTGTTTAGTGACCAAGACTGTGCTATGAGTGAGCTGCCTGAATTTTCTACCTGTCCACCTGTAGGTTTTAACTTTTCTGAGCTTTGTCATCTACAATGTCTGTTGGGAGGGAGCTGAAAGCTTTTTAATTTGCAAGTATTCCATTTGTCCTTTAGAGAGCTGTTCTTCAGAGCCAAAGTAATCAAATACTCCTCCACAGCTTAGTCTTAGTTTTTCCGGAGAAGTTTCTTTTTGAATAATAACATACACCTGCTTTTTATACGTACACATGATTATTTTTCCTGGTCAGCATGGTAACAGCCAAAAGTGCCCCTCTAATTAGAACTGACACTATTTTCTGAAGGCATCTGTCATGTCAAAATGTGTGGAGTGACTTACTATGTATAAAGCTCATTTGAAAGAGCCTTATTGTGTTTGCATTAACGTGATTGTTAGAGTAAGAATATTGTTTGGACCAGTTAGCTGTCAAGTTGGTAAATGGTACAATGTTGTTAATAAATGTTTCAGCTTGACTGTAGTCAGACAAATTCTTGCTTTAATATAGTCGTAGCAATCTGGTATCCAGGGGAGTACTATTTTGATATAAAAATATGCCAGTGCTTGGTTTCCAATTAGTATTGCTTGGGGAATTCACTTGTGGGTCTAAACTTGATTAACCCATATTCTTTAAGTCACAAGGTATTTGAGACCTGTGTTTCATTATTATCTGTACTAAAGGAAGGAGACCAAGTGAATGTGGCTTAAAACAAAAAAAAAAAAACTTAGTTGGAAGAAATTAATAGCACCTCAAGGAAGTAACTTCTCTTCATTTGTACAATAAATATACTATGCTAAATGCTTTAAACCTGGATTTTTCACTTAGTTGGCTTAGTTGGTATAATCTATGAAGTTCAGCCACTTGAAATGTCTATAAAAGATCACTTTGAGTATGTGAATACATGACTGCTGAGCAGTAGTAGCAATAGAAAGTCTACAGGCTGTAGTGCCAGAAATGCTGTCATGTTGCTTTTTTTAAAATGTTGAGTTAAAGCAATAACTGATTTGCATCAAACCTTGTAGTTGCTTGAAGAGGAAACTAGGTGCTAAGATGGGATCTTAATTGGTTTTTAATTGATCATTTTGTTGAACTTGCCCTGCTCTAGTGTCCAAAACAGAGCTTTGTGTAACAAATTGTGCCATATTGTACCTTGTTACTATTTGAGTCTGGAAGATGCAGCAGTATCTCATTAGATGGCTTAGAGTTGGGGGTGGGGAAGATGAGAGGGAGAAGAAAATGGTTAAAGCAAGTAAGTGGTCTTGGAGAATGCAGTTCTCTAACCTTGTATGTACAAACGTAAGTATAAGAGAACTCCACTGAACTTAACTGTGTGTGGATCAAAGTTGTGGGAAGAGTTTCATGCATAGCAGTCAATTGTGAAAGGCAGATCATATAGATAAAGCATTTGATTATTGTAGTCCTTCATGATTTGTGAATGGTTATGCTATGGATTTCAATTGATCTGGAAGGCTTATTAGTGGGACAGAACCAGAAAAGCGTTTCTCATAGAGGACCAGGCTTAATGGAGAGGTGCTTTTAATGCTTCTAGGAAACCAGTAAAACAGCATCTTGCATGTGTTCAGAGAGTTGTGTTATTAGTACTTCAGGAAACAGTTTTTCCTCTTTCTTGAGAGGAGTATCTTAGGGTTCTAGGTTCCTTGGAAACATAAGACTTCTTTAAAACAAACAAACCCCCAAAACAAACCAAACAAAACAATGCCCCAAAATGCAAACAAAACTCCTGCTACAGGTTGACTGGTTCTTGCAGAGCTTGCATTCAGTGTCTGGGGGAAGACACCCGAACTACAGCTGCAAGCACTCAATTCTTACAACTCCAACTCATGCTGATGGCTAGTAGTTAACAGTGGGAGAAGGTGCTGTGCTAATTCAATGGTGGAGAGTAAGGCAGAATTCCTCTTTCTACTCTAAAAATATTTTTTCCTCATATAATGGAACACTACATGCTACTGGATAGACTCAGTCACTCATACAGCTTAGACAAGTTCTGCAGCATGTTGAGTTTCCTTGCATTGTCTCAAGAAGGCATGTGGGTGACTGGGTTGTAACTGATGTGTTCAGAGAGCCAAGACTTTGAAAAATCAGGAGTCTTGATCTCTTTCAGGTTGGTTTTGGTAACTTGACAGTATGGGTATGGCTTATTCAGCTCATTTAAAAGTTCAATGGTTAAATAATCTTATATCTTGGACACTATTTTCCTGAAGTTGTATTTGTGCCCATCATGGGCTTCATGTGAGGAGGACAAGAAATTGCATACGTTATTGACATTAGTTAGTGCAGTATACTTTTGTTTTAAGGTAGAAGAAACAGTAATATAACTACTTAGTAAAAATACACAGAAAATATTAATCTGGAAAAGTGCATATTTCTGGAGGATTATTCAGAACTGAGTGTGCAGTGGTTCTGAACAGGGAAATAAGGCATTTAAAAAATGGTACTGCGAAATTTCTCATTTCTCCCATATTCATCTCTGCCTCCCCTAGCATTTAAATTCCATATTTTGATGAGGGGTGAGCACTTGATCAAGTGGTTGGAAGTGAGGTGAAAGATTGCCTGTTCATGGTGCTGAAGTTTGGATGGATAATAAATTATCTGATAGTTCATCCAATAATAAAGGTACCAGTGATTAAGGTGGGACTGTCAGCCTTCTGGGTCTATGTGGCACCTCTTTTTTTTCAGTACAGCTGTCTCTCATAACACAGGCAACTTATTTCCTCCATATTCTCTGTATGTCTTTACTGTGTGGTCTTTGGATCACTTTCTAATACTGGCTTTTAGAAGCCTACTTGAAACTCTTTGGTCATAATCCCTGTATGATATTCTGGCAAAGTACTAAAAAAAAAATCTTCTAACCTGCAGCACAGCCAAGTACAGTGTGGTGACATTTCTACCTCGATTCCTGTATGAGCAGATAAGAAAAGCTGCAAATGCATTCTTCCTCTTCATTGCCTTACTGCAGGTATTGTTTTATTGGTTTGCCTTGATTATAAAATAACATTGTAATGTAGCAAAAGTTGCTTCAGTTGTTATGCTTAACTGTGAAGAAATTGTTATATATTTTAATAGTAAGATTAATGAGGTATGTACTTAATAATTGAAATTAGAAGGCAACTTAGACTTTTTTTGATGTACTATGAAAAATCAAACTACTTTTATTCCTAAGTGAGAACAAGTAGTAATATTGTAAAACATGGAGCTATTGCCCATACTGAGAAAAGCATTTGTGGATTCCTGTGAAACTGCTGACTGTTTGGATAGTCCAGATTATCACTGCTTCTGGGTAAATTACACCATTTAAATGCTTTTCTCGTGAAGAGATGAGAAATAGAATAAAACACATGTACAACAACTTTATCTTCTAACTTTACGGTGGTAGTTTCTTCAAACCTACTGAACGCTAGTTTGCCTACTGAAATTGGATGTGAGTTAGGCACAAATCAGAAAGCTCTGTGTTCTCTTTTCTGAGAGCTTTGCCTCAAGTTGTAAATTTACTAGAAACGGATTTTAAATAGAAATAAAATGGATATCTCTTTCTTCCTCTGTTCACAGCAAATTCCAGATGTCTCTCCAACAGGAAGATATACCACCTTGGTGCCATTGCTATTTATTTTGACAGTTGCTGGCATCAAAGAAATCATAGAAGACTATGTGAGTATGATTATGGGGATGCTGTGCTAAAGACCAAATGTTTAAAAAAAGCCACAAAATGCCACAAAGCTATACATCTCTGACATCTATTGTCTCATTGCTGAAGAGCAGCAGAGTATCCTTTTGACTTACAAAGCTCTGAATTTGACTAGAATTTCTGTAGCACACTGAGATAAATGAGGCATTTTCATTATAGATGGTGAACAAGGAAATGGTAGAAGTCAGGACGCTTGTATCTACCTCTTCAAACTTGGTTATTTGTGGTTTTGTTAGAAAGACCTGTCTAGAAGGACACTGTAGAGTCCTGACAGATATGTGGTCTTTTTAGGTGGCCTTTAAAACAGCAGGGGGGCAAGCGAGTTTAGCAGAGTGAACTGTTTTGGGGAAAATTTGTACTAACTTGCTTGGATATCTTTATTATAAAGAGGTCTTTCTGCTTTGCAAAGTTCTGATGAATATTGTAACTTAGAAATCAGTCTAAACAAACAGCATGTAGAATGTATAGTTTGGTTGTTATCTAAATATGCTGTTCCTCCTTCTTCCTTTTGTGTTTCTTCCAGAAAACAGTTTTGGAGACTTAGTTTTTTTTGTTGTTGATCCAAGTTTGAGCCTGAATTCCAACATGGAGACTCTTTAAAGTTGTTTTAATTTACAAACCGTTTGTATTTAGATGATCTGTGTGGCTTTAAAAAAAGTCATAAAGGCAAAAGTGACCCATTTTGCAGTTTGTCATATTTCTGCTTCTAGTGGTTGGAATATGTAATGAAGTGTAATGATGTGTAATGAAATGTTTTGTTTCCTTGCAGAAAAGGCATAAGGCAGACAGTGCAGTGAATAAAAAGAAAACGATAGGTAAGACTAAATGTTTAAGTTAAATAATTAAAATGCAGATAGTGAATAACAGGACACTTACTTTTAACAGTTCTATTTCTTAAACAGTCATGATGGTGGACTTTTTGGACTAGGTAGTTCCTGATATGCTGGGATTTCACTTTAGCAAACGTTTCAGACTGATGCTGGTAGTGTGACACTTGAGAATGAAGCATGGGGGGGATTATTAGAATTTATAAATTAATGTAATTTCAAGGTTGTCCACAGTTATACAGTTCTCATCTCCTCCAAGAAAACCAAATAATTTTCTCCCCTGCCAAACTCTATCCCCATTATTCTAAAAACAAAACCAAAACAAAACAACAAAAAACCCAAACAAAAAACCCCCTATAACACCCAGAACAAAAAAAACCCCACAAACCAAACACTCCTTTCCCTAAAAAAACCCCAACAAAACCAACCAACCAACAAAATCCAACAAACCCTTGAAACACTGAAAGTTGGTGTCAAAGGAATTCTAAGTAATTTTTGTGAATGCTGCCCTTAAAATACAGGAAGAAATCTGGGGTTTTTGTGGATTTGCTTTCCTGAGGTGTCAATGAAAGTGAATTTAACACTGATATCCTCTGAATGCCTACAAGTTTCCCTAATGTATTGATGCTATTTGGCACTGAATACCTAAAGACACTTTAACTGTCTTCATATCCCTTAACTGAAAACCTGTGCAAAAAATATCAAGAGTTTACTCATGGACTGACCCTGTGGTCAGCCTTTGCTGCCGTGGTGGGATCTCTGTGTTCTCGTGTTGGACAGTTCCTTTGCTGCTCCTCCTGGGAGATCGGCAGGTGAAATGGAAAGCAGTGACCTCACCTCTGAGTAGACCCCATTCCTCCCAAACACATTGAGGTCAAATGTCAAGAAGCTAGAGAAACACTGAAAGGAGCGTGGGGAACAGAACAACCTGCTTGCTGTGCGTTTCAGTTAACAGGCATGTTTGCAGGACTATTTTCAGTGAGCTTTTCCTTTGTGCTTGAAGTTAAATTGATCTTTGAGATTGTATATTAATGAACATCAAAAGGCATTGCTTATCAGTTCGAGGTAATTTCTCTACAAGAGTCTGGGAAAATGTTAAAATTTATTAGTCATGAGTAACGTAACTAACTGGCTGTAGCACAGCAGGCCTTGTTATGGGTGATGTGAAAGACTGCTCTTTCAAAGGTCACAGACAGTTCTAATTCATTTGCAGTTAGTGTTTGTTAGCACATGTTCATTTTAAGGTTGTCTTTCCATAATTACTGTGATAAACTTCCTTGAAGAACACAAGGTATCCTTGTGGAACTAAGTGGGGCAAAAAAATTAGTTCCGTTCAGGTTTTATTTTTTACATTTGATTACCGTAAGTAAAACTTTCAAAACTATTAAACCGTATCCTCATATTTCTTCAAAGGAAGGGTCAAGAGGCTCATTCTTAAAAATTTTATTATGAGAATGAAAAGCTAATATATGTTCAGGGTGGTATTAAGATGAATTAAACTTAGGTTCTGTATATGCCTTTAGGTTCCCCTTATAGCTAAGTGAGATCTAGTCAATACAATCAGTATAGAGAGCAGTTCCACTCACTTAAAAGTAGACATGTCCTGGCTGCTTGGCTATGTTCTGAACTGCACTGCCTGCAATGAGCAGATGCTTGCTTCAGTAGTGTACACATAGGCTTTGCATTTATCTTCATGTTTAGTTTTTTGAGCAATAGTGTTATCTTCCAAGCACATTTCCTATATTAAATTTATTATTGAAAACATTGGTTTGCTTTGCAGAATGGCTTTGGTATGTAGGATTTAAATTCCCTTTGGAGGAAACCAAATTGAAAGCTCTGCTCCAAATGGAGACTGTTCATCTCCATTAGGAGCTGGAGCATGTTAGGCTCTGAGCCAGTGTTTTGACTTGGATGGCTTCATGTGGTATGTATGGAGATGACATTGAATCTGGGGACCAGACTAAGTGTAATCCCAAGTGAAGCCCCTGAGCAGCATATTGCGTACATGTAGAGAGCTTACTAATAACTGTTCTGATGTATTGATCCTCTCATTATCAAATTATAGAATAAGCCATGAGCATTTAATACCATATGGGATGCCCTTGAATAGTAGATGAGCACAGGGCTAACAAAATATTTCACAAGACTGATGAGGAATGCTTGCCCCTCAGGAGTAGCACTTCAAATGGCCCTGCACTCTAGGTGTGAGTGACAGCATAAGTCCTAGATCTAGAGCATCAACACACTTTTATAATTTCAGGAAGTCTTATATTAAAACTCTTTTTTGAATAGGAGCAGTCTTTTTAGGTACTGGTTTTTACTTTAGCCAAATACCTTTTGACAATGAATAATTCATCAATTTTACCTTCCTATAGATAACCTACGGAACACAGTCTTTTCTGTCTTTTGGAGTACTCCTATAAAACTGGATTGAGCAGAGTAGAAAGTGTGAAATTGCAACCTCAATTTCTGAACGGTTTTATGCTAGTGGAAGCTTTCTCTTCAGATTGTGGGGTTGAGTTTAAAAAAAAATTGCTTCTGTAATTTGTTTAACAGATTACTTGTAAAAGTTAAATTGATTTCATTAAACATGAAAGATAAATAGTTTTCTTGTGTTGTCTACATGTGAACATAAAACAATGTGAACTGTTGGCTAAAATGTCTCAAATTTTCTGGTGGAACACGGTGCTGTTTAAAGCAAGGTATAGGAGATGCTAAGTGTTGCAATCCCTCTCTGAGGGTTTGGGTTTTGAGTCAAGGCTGCAGGTATATGGCTTTTCACTTGAGATTCTGGGCTCAGGCCTTTCCCTGAGTTCTGAGCTAAGCAGCACTTAATTCAAATTCAAGCACAGCTTAGAGGGAAGGAATGGCTGTAACTAAAATGTTCTTCCCCTAAACTACATACACTTGTTTGGGTGGAAGCTCAGCAGTTTAGATGCATCACTAGCAGTGCTTCTATTGCTGCCCACCCATTTCTTTTTAGCTTACTTCACTACGATCCATCCACTGTAAATCTCAGGATTCAGTGCTCCAAAGTGTGTGGGCTGAGGACAGGAATTGAGAGGCTTCTTGTGCTTGATTTGGTCTGGCAAATCTTGCATTCCTGTTTGTGGAGTGGCCTAACCTGAGTAGGATGGCTGAGGCTGTATTCAACAGAATGGTATCTTCTGGGAATTGAGTATGGCTTCCAAATTAGCTGTGTATGTGAATTGCATAGAACTGAGGAGAAAATTGTATTCAAAGTAGGGGGCCAGCCTCTCCAACTTTAATCTGTTGCACACTATACTTTTTGAGTGTCTTTGAAAACTGTCTGCAGCAGCTTGCAGTGAAGGGTTTGAGTTTTAGGTGTACTTGGTGTGCTCAGACCTGGACTGGATTTGGTAACTCAGCACTGACTGGGTGTAAACTTTTGACCTTACTCTTTAGGTTAAGGTAGTATTAAGTAAGTGTAGAAGCATCTGGAGGGAATACTTGGGTGAAGAAGCATGTTCCAGAGTAGATACCCAATGAGTGTATTAAGACAGCGGTGTAGGACTTCAGGCCTATTTTGGTACCTTGCTTTCTTTTTTTGCTTCCAAGTAAACTTCAGCATTTAGGGTTCTCCTTCTACCAAAGCTGATCTTCGCTTTTTAGTAGGACTTTGAGCCTGCCTGACAATTAAGCCTTAACCTTATAAAGGGCAATGGATACAGTAGTGCAGTTGGATGTGTCAGAGTCAAAACCTAATGAATAAAATGCAAGGAAAAAGCTGAGAAGTAAAAATTCTGTGGTCAATTCTTGATACTGGTTGACAGTGGATAACAATGCCGTTTGTTTTAAGGAAGGTCATTTCCTAAACAAGCAACAACATGGCCCATCTGTGGGTTATGAGATGATGCCAGGAAGAAATCAGGCCACCAACTGTTGTCTAGCAGATGACAAAAATTATATAAAGGGCAAATTCTTCCTCTTTCTTGGGTACACATGCCTACAGCTCCAGACAAAAGTATAGTCCCTGCTTCTGAAAAATACATTTCTGGTTTGTGTTAGTTCCCATTCTGGTCAATGTTTGCTACTGCTGATAGAGTTGTTTTGAAATTTGTCCAAATTTTGACGATGTATGCTAATCTAACTTTAAACTTTCTTTCCAGTTCTAAGAAATGGGATGTGGCAGAACATTATGTGGAAAGAGGTAAATAAAATTGGGAATGGGAGGGAGTGAAAGGAGATGTTCAAGAATTGCTCTTGCCAAAATAAATTCAGAGGCTTAGAATTAATGTACACTATGTGAGAATTCCCTATGACTTGGGGTGGGAAGGATGCTTTCTGCTGTAATAGTGACAATTGCCCTGAGCGAGGCGTCTGTGTACCCATCTTTAAATCCTAGTGCTATGTTTGAGTCAAATGCTAATGAACTGTTGTGTTTTTTCTTGGGCAGTTAATATGCTCCAGGGTGTAAAGAGTATTTTGTTTTTAGTCCTCATCTAGGAGAGTAACTTTCACTGCAATGCTGTACCTCCCCTGAAAGTCTAAGACTTATTTTGATACCTGTGCTAAAAAGTTGTTAGGTTTTGAAGACAAGTAGTGAGCTGCTTGCTCAAGTAAGGAACACAAGCCCTGCTGCTGCCTCAGGCACTCAGGACCTGTGTTCTGTGAAACACTGTGCCAGGACCTGGTGAGCTTTATTTCTAGAATATATACATATTTTACCCTTAAGAACTTCATGAATTGGCCTGTGTCTGCATCTGCATATTGTTGAGGCTTACACTAATTTTTAGGGAATAATAGTTCTGTACTGTCCACCTTGTTTACTTTAAGGCAGACTTTGGATCTTTTTTGTGTTTAAGTTGGTAGGGAAGTGGTTTTCAGGGGGATCAGAGTAAGGCTAATGAATCTGCCTGCTCAAACATGCCATCTGTTTCAATTTTTACAAATTAATGTGTTAAAAATATTTAAAGCCAATTTCAGCCTCTTAGTAGTGCATTGGTGCTAAGCAGTCTGATACTCATCAGGCAAGCCTGGCTTAGTGTTTTGAGGGTGCTACTTGGTCCTTCTTAGAATGAAAGTCCTATGCATGTGTGACTCCCATTAAAAGTGCTATAAACTTAGGTCTTCAGTATTCCAGACATCAGGACTTTGCGCATTGCAAGTGACTATAGGTCAGGTGAGAACTGGTTGATATTACCTGTAGAGACTGCTCCTTGCTAGTGACTCATACAAGCAGTATATCTAAAGGGGGCGAAGGGAAAATTATAGTGATGGCTGGGTAGGTAAGTGATAAGGAGAAGGAATAGGAGAAACTCTTGATACCTGAGGAAGGTAAAGCTTCAAGATAACTTTTTTTACTAGGGAAAAAAAATATCTTTCTGTAGGTTAAATAAGATTGAAGAAAAACAAACCTTCCAATTTGGATAATGGCAGGATTACAGAAAAAAGTAACTTTTACTAAAGATAAGCCACAGAAGTTCACACTTTCCAATTGAGTATATGTGGTTTTTTTTATAGAGAACTGTTTACTTTGCATTCAGAAAAGGGAAGGCTTTGATACTTCCAAAACTTGCAGTGAAAGGTACTCTGACTTTCAGAAGCACTGTCTCTAGCTGTGCATGATGCTGTTCTTTTGAGTGGAAAAAAAAAATAACAAACTAACATTCCAGACAAGCGAACTGTTTGTTTTTCTCTTCCATGCTACTGTACTCCTGCTCCTGACTCGACAGGTAGCAGTAGGTGATATTGTGAAGGTCACCAATGGGCAACATCTTCCAGCAGACATGATCATTATATCTTCCAGGTATCCTGAATGGGTGTGGAAATTGTCTCTGATGAACTGAGGTGCAGAGTACTTGAAACTCTGTATTTGCTGTTAATAAAAACAGACATCAGATGGCACTAATTTTCTCCACATCTGAAATGAAATTTCAAGAGTGTCAGAGTAGTGCTTTACTAGGCAATGATGCATGTATCATTGCAGATAGATTATTAAGAAAGAAGGCTTCTTTAAGACTTCATAGTGTTATGTATCTGTAGTTCATGAAGACTATCATTGAATTTGTTGGAAGACTGACAGTCTGTTAACATAAGCTTCATATAGTCAGTTGCTCTATGGCATTCTGAGGATCCCTCCGTGTAATTAAGGAAGCTTAAGCTTTCTTCCAATTAATTCCACTGAGTTTCCAGCATATTTTCCTGCTTCTCAGGAAAGATTTCTCTTTGAAACAGTAATTCTAAAAGGCTAGTTAGCTGGCATCTAGTAACTAGCCTACAAAATTGCTTTTCAGCTTCATTTGTTTACTCTTTGTCTTTGATACAGTGCACATATGGCCCATCCTTAGCATGGCAGTGACAGTAAACTGAGTCCTGCTCATTTTAGTTTGTGAAATATGGGACAACTTCTTTATACTGATATGCTGGCAAGCAAAGCTTAGTTGTTAGTTCCTAAAAGCATTTGAGTGGTTGTTGTCTGTTAATCTAGATTCTCTGTGTTGAACAACTTGAGGCCAAATCCACTATCCACTTAGATGAGACTTAAACAAGAGGCAATAGGGCAGTTCTTATGCTTGAACATGTTTGGTTTTTTTAGCCAAACCTGATGACATCGTGGTCTTCTCCATAATTTCCTTCTGTTCACATGCTTTTCAATGGTGACAGCAGGTTGCTCTGGTCTCCAGGTTACAGATCTTAGATGACCCAACTTCTAAGGGAACTTGTTTTCAAAGCTACTGTATTTTCTGCTCCATCCTTGTTTATGCCATCCCTAGGAGGTTTCATTTTTTGGAAAGCTCTATGGGGAAGCTGAGTCTTTTTGAACTGTCACATCATCAAGGACAGATATCTTAATTCCATAGTATACAATATTGTATTTTGAAAAAAACTCCAGATTTTAAATAAGCAGTTGTCAAGCTTCATATACAGTTAGGCTACACTTGCTGTTTCCTCTAATGTATTATACTAAAAAACTTTCTGAATTATTTATTAACTTGCATGGGTCAGCTTTTTGTTCTACATTATTTTACTAACCTGCAGTCATTGATAATCACATAATAACTGGAGAATTTAACCCAAAGTGTGTTGATTTGGGAGAAGCTTTAGTTGAAGTAAATAGCAATTTCTATGGCCGTTCCGCTTTACGATTGGCATTATTCCCATGATTCTTTTAAATTACAATACTAAGTGTCCTCAGTTCACCAGAAGGCTTTGCATGCTTCAATGGGATGGGGTCTTTTGCTTGTATGTGTTAATTTTCTGTCTGAGCTGACTGTCAGAGATGAAATAAACAGTTGTTTTTTATCTTGACTCTTTTTTCCCCCCATAGAAGAAAGATGACATCAAATTAATTTTGTGTAGAGAATAAATCTACATGAAGGAAAAAATATCTGAATCCAAACACAACTTTTTGAAACACTTCCATATTTCAGTGGAAATGAGAGGAGTTGTATTGCAAGAGGTCTCCCTCCCTCCTGAGTGAACCACTTCAATTGTAGTAGATAAGGAGTTTGTGACAGAAGAAAAATGGAATCAAGCTGGACTTAATCTGTGTCTTTCCTGGCTTCTGATTCTGGTTGCCCATGTAGGAAGAGACAGATAAGAGGCTCTGAACCTTTTTTTTTTAAAAAAGATTATTGGGAGAGAAACATCCGGTTTCTTACTGTGTTCTAAATAGTCCTGTCTGTTTCTTAACCATTTTTGTCCTAAGGAGCCTTTATTACTGACTCTTCTGCTGATTAAGTATGTTTACTGTAACAATTGGTTATTTTGGAAAAGAAATAGCGACATCTCAAGAGTATGAAAAGTGATATGCTGAAGAAACACTTGTTTGGGTCCAGATGGGAAACAGGTATTCCTTAGCAGCCTGAAAAGATAGTTGGGAAAAATAGTTTTGGTGGTGCCATACAGAGGTTTTAAATCTTAAGGGTCATGTCAGGAAAAGATCTGTGAAGTACCCTTCTTTGGTGGGTGTTATCCTCTTCATCCAAGCACATCCCCTTTTTACACTGTTCAATACTTGATATTTTATCTATAATTTTGAATTGTGAAGCAATTTTATGGACTGCAATGTAAAATAGTCCACTTTGGGCATCTAAGTTTATCATGACTTGTTAAATTCTTATTAACTTTCTGATTTAGACTTGTCTTTCTCTGTGGCTTTTTGTATGAGTGTTCCTATCCAAAGACATCTCTGTGAAATGTGTATTTTCAGCTGGCTCTTTGATAGTCATATACCACCAATATGGATTTTTGTTTTCTGCAGTATATTAAAGAAGTGTATTGTGGACCACTTTAGTGCAAAAGTAGTATATAAAAAGTACTGTGTATTAATATTGAAAACTTTATGCTCCTTACAGTGAGCCACAAGCCATGTGCTACATTGAAACAGCTAATCTCGATGGGGAGACGAATCTTAAAATACGACAGGTAAAACAAACTGAATTTCACCTCTTTTTTTTTTTTTTCCCCCTCATTTAGGTACCTAATATTAGCTACAAAGCAGAGTCTTGCTTGCATGACAACAATACAAGTACTATTCTAAAAAAACCAAAACAAGAACCCCATATCTCTTCCCAGGTGGCTGTAAGCTGCCTTTTCAACAGACAGAAACCCGAGCAATAATGCCTCATGCAAGTGGAAGGAACTAGTCTGGAGGAAGTATAAGCCCACAGAGGCAAATCAAGCAGATCTTGGCTGTATTTTGATGAAGGTCCAGTAAGTGGAAGTGAAGTGCTGTATTTAAAAAAAAAAAATCAGCTTTGCTAGTGATGAGAGCTGCAGTTTCTGCTGTCACAAGTGCCAATGTGTCTCCTTCTGTATGTTCAAAAGGACCTTTTATATGTTTAAGGTAATATGTTCTCTCTTTGTGGTAAACAGTGGAATTTATTTGGACCTTTCTAGTTTTGTTGAAGAAATACTATTGATTATGGTGTTCAGAAATAGTTCAGGATCTTTGCCTTCTTTGATTACAAAACAATAAATTTGGATTAGGATTTTGAAATACAGATTGATTGTGGTTAAAAGGCTGTACATTTGCTGCTTCTTTACTACCTGGCGGTAGTCAAGTGGTAGTGGGGCCCTTTTAAGGCTGTGTTCTGGCTTGCAGTGCTGCAGTCAAGTGGAGGCGTTTGTAGACAGGTGAAAAGCAATGGAGTGCTGTATGTGCACTTGTGAGATAGAGCAGCAATATGTTAGATTACAGTTCCATGATGGATTGATAGTTAACCCTGAGTAGGATCAGAGCATAATGGCTGCAGTGGCCCAAGAGAGACTACACTTAGGAGTGGCTATATTTATATGTTTAGTAGCAGTAGCACATCAGTGGAACTATATTTTGAGAGAAAAGCCAGGCATGGTTATACTGCCTGTCTCCTGCTTCCTCCTGCACATGTGCAGCTTTGTGCTTTATGGATGGGACTTTCCTCTTGGTTAGAGAGAGATCATGTGGGTAGTTTAACTCTTGTATAGAGGATTTAAACCAATCCTATATAAACAGGATCATATGTGTCTATAACAGATCTTCCTTGCAGGAAAGAGTTAATGACTATCCATGAAAAAAACCCAAAACAAGCAAAAAACCCAAGTCAAACAAAAACCTCCCACCAACAAACCTGATAGAAAACTTCCACACATTTAATTACATTTGATATCTTCAATGTTGAAAGAGAGCACCATTTTCTTAGCTTGCCTTCTAATAACAGTTTTTGACAATCTCCTTTGGATTGGTCTCGGCAGGGATTGTCTCAAACTGCTAGTCTCCAGTCAAGAGAAGAATTGATGAAAGTGTCTGGAAGGATAGAGTGTGAAGGACCAAACCGTCATCTTTATGACTTCACTGGAAACTTGCGCTTAGATGGTCAAAGGTATTAACTTGATGTAAAAAGCTATAAATTCACTTGGTTGGGAAAAATGCTTCCTGTGTGCTTTTAGTCTGCAACACTGAGGATGTCCATTTTTTTACTGGAGAAGGGGAGGGTAATAATTAACAGTTGTTAATCAGAACATCTGCCAGTGTAAAATAATACAGTTCAGTCTTCCTATGGAGCCATCTTGTTATGGGAGAGTTGGTTTCTTTGGAATTGTATCACTTTTTCTTTAATTGAAACTAACATCTGAAGAGAAGGAAGAGTGGTGGAAATGGTTGGGTCTTTTAGGGCCTTCTTGTTACAGGAGATGATGCAGAGGAAATGGGAAACTTTTTCCCTTCCACCTAGAGCCAAAGGCTGCACCGAGTTCAGATCTGTAGAGAACAATGATACCAGAGTTTAGAGTCTTTATCTGTGGCTTTGATGTGTTGCAACTCTTGGAAGGAAAGAACATAGTTTCAGTACTTGAATTCATAGAACTTGAAACAGCACTAGGAACGTAGAGGCTTCATCAGGTTGTACCTGCTTTCGTGCACAAAAACTGTAATCCTTGGGCAACTCAGCTGAATAGTGGCAGATGCAAGAACAGTAGATCACTTGCATCCCACTTGAAAATCACATGGGTAATACAGTTTTCCCAAAATGCTTGTTTAATAGCATACGTGAGGCTATCGTGTGCTTGGAATGCATGGTCTCTTTGCAAGTATGATGCTTTTCTGTCTTTGATGTGAGAGAACATGTTAGCCAAGGCAAGTGGAGAGCAAGCTTGTGGCTATGACATGAGTTCAAGTTTTAGGTAACTAGAACAGCTCCCTTAAATCACCTTTGCCCTACTGTGCTTTAGTGGGATTAGGTTTACACGGGTTTCAGTGATCTCTTGAGTTGTGTGAACAATGTAAGTTCTTTACATTACTTTTCTCCTTTTGTGGTTGGTTTGTTTTTGAGGGGGGAGTGAGGCTGAAATGAGAATTAGTTTACTGAGGTGCTATCAAGAATTGAAAGATACACATACTTCTTGCTTTGCAGCCCAGTTCCTGTTGGTCCAGACCAGATCTTGCTGAGAGGTGCACAGCTGAGAAACACTCAATGGGTCTTGGGTATTGTTGTGTATACAGGACATGATACAAAACTCATGCAGGTAAAGTTATTTAGGAGATCTAGAGTATGTTCTGATAGAAGCTGGTCATATTTTCTGTGTTGTCCTTGTCTTTTGGATTTGATTTTATTAAATGGTTTGACTTATTGTAGCTGTTTAAGTCCTGGAGGCCTTGAAGAATACAAGGATACTGTTGTATTTGAGGTTGCATTTGCACCTATGTAAATACTCAAAGGTATTTGTCTCAAAACACTTCAATATGTAAGCAAAACTAACTATTTTATCTTAATTTATCTGGTAGCTGGACAGCATTTAAAACTGAGGTTTAACAGCTGAGGAGATGGTGGTGACCACCTACCATTTTAGCACTTGAAAGTAATTATGTTAAGCTACAGTCTCTGTATTGCCTTAATACTTGAACAGACCAACACATGTGCTGCTCACCTCTGCTGACTGTCAGTGCGACAGACAGGAGATGAGCATACTAGGTCTTTAGAACTGAATGGTTCCATTCATCTGCTCTCCTGTCCATTTTAGTCATTAGGAGCGTTGAGCTTTGCATACCGTATTGGGCTAAATAGAGTTGAAATAGCAAGTTCTATAATGGACTCTCAAGGCTGAGTTTGCCTCTGCAATTTCCTCTTGTATAAGCTATTGCCAGACTTTTTTTTTTCTGCTGCTATTCAGAATTCAACAAAAGCACCTCTGAAGAGATCAAATGTGGAGAAAGTGACCAACATGCAGATCCTGGTTTTGTTCTGTATTCTTCTGGTGATGGCCCTTGTGAGTTCTGTAGGTGCCTTATTATGGAACAGAACACATGGCGAAGTCGTCTGGTACCTTGGCTCCAACAGTGAGTATGCAGGCAGTGTACTAGGGTTGTATTGGATTGTAGGGCAGGCCAAGCTCTTAGCTTTGCTCCATGAATGCATAAAATAAAACAAACAAAAAAAGAAACACAAGAAACAAAGCCTGTCTAACTTCTTGATGGCCCCTTTTTTTTTTTTTTTTTTTTTTTTTTTTTTTTTTGGAGAATGGGCTGGCATAAGTGAGCTTGCCAGTGAGGCTCTGTTAATAAAACCTTCTAAAGATGATGTCAATATCCTTGGGTCTACCACACAGGGAGAGGGCAGAAACAGAAGGGGGTAAGAGTTATTCTGGGATATTTGGTATTCAAGTTATTTCAGCTCTGTGGAGATGCCATGCATAAATTAGTTTTCAGAGCACGTCGTGTACTGCTGCCTTACGTATCATGTCTGCACCTGGCTGCAGGACAGCAGGTATCAGTCTGATGATACAGACTTCAAATTCATGCTTATGTGCAGAAGCAAAGGATTTCTCTAGCTTTTTTCTTTCAGTCAGAAATGCTGATCTGCTTCTGTTGTAAAAATAAATGGATATGTTATGATTTTGTCTTTATTGGATAATGTTTCAGTCATTTTGGCTTCTGGTATTTTATAATGAGAAAACTCATCTCTTAGCATGCTTATTAAAGGGTTTTATTTGATTTCATTAATACTCCTTGAATGTATTAGTTCAGATATCAAAGATGGGCCTTATGCAAACACTTAAGAATGACATAAATTGCTCTCTGGTAGACTTCGGATTTGAGGAGGTTACATTAGCTATAAAATGTGTTATTACAAATGCCTTGAGATGCAGATCTGAAAACAAGTCTTGCAAACTGCAAATGGTCTTTCTGATGGTGGTTGCCAAACCGGTGGCGAAGGGTGTCTTCTGCAGTTTAAGAACTACAGTTGTGATAGTAATGAAAAAAATTCACATATGAAGAGCATCGAAGAAGTGCCTCATATTTCAGTTTGTTTTTTGGTAGTTGTAATGTCTTCTAGTAGCAGTATCAGCAACTTTCAAAGTTTCTTCCCTAATTGCCTTTTAACGAGGAAGTTTAAATTTATGCCTTCCAATGATGGCAGTAAAATTGGAAAAGATGAGTGCAACAAACTCTTGCACCTGTGCTAATATAAAACAGGTGCAACCTGTAATAGACTAGGATGACGTAAGTCTGTATAAATGCTCTTCTGTAAATTGAATGCCCAATTTCTGTCACTTCTGTAACTGCCACACGTGGGAAAGATGCTTTTTCAGAAAGATGCTAGGCAGTTAGATGCTAAATTTTTGTTACATGTTTAATTTCTATAAAGATTCTATTGGACAAACCTTTTCCAATTTCCAGAGTGCTTCTCCTCATTCTATAAACTGATCGAAGATATGGAATTTTTGTGTGCTCACACTTGGAAGTGCCTAGGTCCAAACTTCAGGTCTTGCTCTGGTTTTCATTACGTTTCAGCAACTTGCTCTGGCTTCCATCTCCTCCTGGTTTGCTCCCCTGCCTTCTTATTGGCTTATTTATAATGCTGAAGACCTCATTGTTGTGGGCTGTGACCCCATTGTTCTGAGTGCTCTGCATGCTGACTGAAGTGCATCCCTAAGCTTCCAGAAAAGTGAACAACAGGCAAATGCAGTGACTTAAGATGTAAAGAGAGCTTGTGGCCAGCACAATGAACAGGAGCCTTCATCCTGTATCTCTGCTTAGCCTTGTCCATTCCTGCCTGCTGTCTATAAGTGCTTCCCCTTTCCCTTTAGGACCAGTTGTGCTGGCAGATTTATTTGGGCAAGTTGCCCGGTGTTGTCACCATTAATAACAGCTCTTCAGCTTAAGCAGGATGCGTGACTTCATTTACTAGGTGTCTGTTTAACTGTTAACTTGTACTTAGATTTCTTTAGTGTGAGTAACTTCTCAATTTTGCCAATGCTAGCAGATTTTAGAACAAATTGTGGTCTTTATTTTTTGTTTTCTAACTCCACTGAGACAAGTAGACACTTTCTGAAAGGTAAAGTTGTGTTACTAGTGATATTGGTGGCACTTAATTGGGGTGGTTGACACATGAGATAAATCTCTAAGTTTGGGTTATAGCGTGGAATATCATACTTCTCACCATCTGTTTAGCAAAAACATCTTCAGAAAGCGTTCTGTTCTCTGATACACAGCCTCACCATTTCTGCCCTTCACCTGGCATAATATACTGTGTATCCAGGCATGTGTTCTGTGGGTGTTGAATATTGATTTCAATAGTGTGTGTATATATATATATATATATGAGAGACCCTTATATTGGGCATCGACACACTGGCTGATTATTTTAGCACTACTAAATCTGATTAGGCGAACTGCAGGAAGATGATTGTCCCTATGCTGTACCACACAGACTTCTACCTTCTGCCACCTGATGTCTTGTCTTTCGGTCCACAGAAATGCTGTCTGTCAACTTTGGATACAATCTGCTGACATTTATAATCTTGTACAACAACCTTATTCCCATCAGTCTTCTGGTGACATTGGAAGTTGTCAAGTTTACTCAGGCTCTTTTTATAAATTGGGTAAGTAACAAGAAAAGATGTATTAACATCAGTTTTGGAAAGTGACATGAAAAAAACCAACCAACCAAAAAAAAAAAACCCCAAAAAAACCAAAAAAACCCACAAAACCAAACTCACCCTGAATCTGTAAGGAGATGAATTGATGGTGCCTCATGCAGCAAAACAGTGATCACTCTGTTCAGGCAAGCTTTGACTTCCAAGTGTGTTTCTCTTCAGTAGTGGATTAAAAATACTGTAGTGATGTCTCTGAAGCTGAACAAAACCACAAGGAATACCTTGTCTTGGTATGTGTTAATTCCTTGTCTTCCGGTAAATTCATAGTGGTTTCTCTAAAATACAAATAGATAAGGTCTGACATGTCTGTTCTCCTAACTGCTTATAATGTATTGGAGATGCTTAACTAGCTTATCTGAGAAACTGCTTTGGTTCATGTAGCAGCTGTTTGGTTTATCTTCCTAGTTAAATGTAGTAATAGCAGGAACTGATTTCAGAGTCACTTAAATTGTCTCTTTGGTCATGGATGTGGCTAGGGTAAATTACATTGTTGTAACTGAAGACCTATGATTAGTGTGGCTAATGCCTGTTAGAACTTTTTCCTATTGTACTGAACTCTTAGACTAGAGATGCAATGAAGAAAATGATATTATTGCCTAGAGCTGAGTCTGGCTTTTTTCATGTACATGTAGTATGGAGGTATACTTTGGAAAGAAGGCATCCTTATTCAGCCTGGGAGGCTGTTTGTCTCTTAAGCCTTCAGAACTTCCCCAGTGGAGTTAAGTCAATCAAGCCAAGTTGGAGCTGACTCAAAAGACTGGAGCCTTCAGTGTTTAATTTGCATAACACAGGACTAACTTTGCTCTCATTTCAGGACATGGATATGTATTATCCTGAAACAGATACACCTGCCATGGCCAGAACATCGAACCTTAATGAGGAACTTGGGCAGGTAAGACAACATTTTCTTAAATGTCATGTTTGTGATATGTTCTGGGAAGACAGAAGGTATGAGAGCATGCTGTATGGATCTGCTTTATTCTGTTGCTCTGTGCTCACATTGATGCAATGTCTTTACTTTCATTAGTCCAAGTCTTACTGTTAGAATAATTAAATATAATGTGTTCTTAGTTGTTCGTGTCTGTGATCATTTCACAGGAAATGCAAGTCAAAAAAACCCCAACCAGTTCTGTTCCTAATTTAGATTGTGTTCCTTCAAGCATTTCCATTTTCCTTTCAGTTAAAGGTAATTGTATATTAACTTGTAGTTGTTGTAAGAGATCTGTTATGAATTCTGCAAATGAGTTTTTTTTCAAAAATGGAAGAACTTCCAAAACAAGGTTACTGGAAAACAACTTGGGCATTAGGATTTTTCAATGGTACTGCAAAATTCCAGCTTTTTGCCTTTTTTCCATAGGTATGTAATTGAACCATATGAACTACATAGTTTGTGTGAGTTTAGCATTGGAGAAAATGTTTATGTATATAAAATACATAAGTATTGTGTGCTGCCTCAGAGCAGGGTGGTAGTCAATATTCTTCCCACTTGATCTGATTGGCATTTTCCTTAGGATTGTTGAAAATTGTTTTGTATTTAGATTACTTTGTGGAGTATTCAACCTCCAAATTGTGATAGTGTCTTTGTCCAAAGTAAACTATGCTATATGGCATAATGGATATTGTTGGCACATATGCTGTTTTGGATTCATTACTTAAATTACTTGTTCACAGGTGCATTTTATAATTTTGTTATAGGCTAGAATTATTAATGATTAAATCCTCAGATGTTTGGGTACTCGCTTTGGCTTCTGACTTGCACAGGCTCCACTTCCAACACTGTATTCAAAAGCAGTGTAGTGCACAGCTAAAGGATCACTTAACTAGTAGTGTAGTACATTGTCTTGAACTCAGCTGCAAATACTGAGGAAAAGCTTCTTGCAACTCTAGGCAGAATATCTTGGTCTTTAAATTGACTAACTCCTCTGTTAGCACCATCCCTTACTACTTGTTGCTGGTTTAAAATCTTACCTGGTGCAGAGGTAAAACAAGGTGAAATTTAGCTTGCAATTAATTTTGGTCTGTTGTGGCCTACTGAAGGTGGGAAACTTGAGTCTGCTAATGCTCCACAAAGTAGTGTTGCTGTGTTGGTGTCATCTCCAAGTTCTGAAAGTCACTGGTTTCCATTAAGGGGTTATTAGCTTGGGCAGTGCTGACTGTGGTTTTGTGTTTTGCACTTCAGGACTTCCCATGACTGGATACCAGAGAAAGCAGCTTACGTTTGCCTGCAGGCTACCACTTAGACTTAGGCTAGGATGTCCCTTGCACAGAACTGTTCATGGGGAAAACAAGACCCCAAACAAATTCCTGATGATCTTTGCAATGCACAATTTCTTCAGTGTATTAAATTCTGATTCTTCAACAATCTTAAGAGTATCTGTTTTAATTTCCAGTCTTGCTCTTTGACATTAGTTCAGTTGAAAGATTGGGTGAATGTTCAGCTAGCATAAGCAAGTACGTTTGTACTGACAACACTGGAGCCTTGGCAACTAATACCTGCTATTTGAGCCTTTCTGCATTTAGAGATAAAGAAGAAATAATGTAATTAAATAACTTTCCTGACTAGTTTCTTGTAGCTTTGGTAAGACAAACCAAACTGTAATAAGCCTGCATTGGCCACTACTGTGACATTTGAGCTGTATGTCTCCCACAATTTTCCTGATGCTTAACCTGTTTTCCACTTTGAGTTTTGTTACTTTGCAAGTTGAAAACTTTACTTTTTTTTCTTACAGGTGAAATACCTGTTTTCTGATAAAACAGGTACTCTGACATGCAATATCATGAACTTTAAGAAATGCAGTATTGCTGGAGTGACGTATGGGTAGGTATGACTTATTTAAAAACTCCATAGCTTAATGTGTGCTTATTAATGGTACATACTTTGTATCAGAACGGAGTTAGAACATTCTGTCCTTCAATTGGTATTTAAGTGTATTTTGTCATCTTAGTTAATAGCTTTTGTCTGCATGTCCTGCAACACAAATTATGGAATACAAACCTGGGGAGTACTTTGTATGAAGTAATGAAAAGTTCCTAATTTATCTGATTATGATTTGAACTAAATCAGAAGTGCTAAGTAACCTCTGGCCTTTCCAGAGGGAAGAAAATACAGCCTGAGGGTAGCATTGTTAGTCATGTTTCTGTGACTTCTTCAGATGAACAAAGATTTCATTAAACCACATGGCTGTAATTGTAGAGTTGAATATTGCTTGCACGAGAGGTATACCCACTTACTGGTTTTGTTCTGTTTCTGTCAAAAGGACCCCTTGGAGTCATGCCAGTGTTTTATAGCACTTGCCCTTTTGAGTCTCCAGTACTAAGCCTTTGTCTTTGCTTACTTTTAAATGGGTAGTCTTAAAATCTCTGTGCAGGTTAACCTTTGAATGTCATGATAGCTAAATTAGATACCTCAAAAGGCAGAAAGCTTGATTCAGATGTATGAACAGCTGAACCTGTGGTTCCAGCATATGTTTATATGTGTGATGACTCATGGATCTTTGCCTTTGGTTTTTTTTGTGTGTTTTGCAAAGTGGAATAAATGTTCTTTTTGCCTTTTCTACACCTCAGTCACTTTCCTGAGCTGGAAAGGGAACGTTCATCAGAAGACTTCAGGTAAGTATATTCTAGGATGTTTGTATTCTGTATAGCAGAGTGGGGACAATCTATATCAAGACTAATTTCCAATTTGGTACTGGAAGAAGCCCAAAGGAGCAATGTGTCTGAGTAAAACGCACTTTCAGACAGCTGGTGGGTGGTGATGGATCTCCTGTATAGAGAGATAGTGGGTGAAGGGGAGTGAGGGATAGGCAGTGGTTGGGGTGGCTTGGATGCATGCTAATGCAGTATTTATTTATAATTGCAGAGAACCAAGTTACAATATAAAAGTAGGTTTTTTTAATGGTAATTCTACCTCTAGCTAGAGACTGAATGTCACTCTTTGGAATCTGTAAGTTCAAACCTGACAAGGAGAAGAAAAGGAACTTGTTTATTAAAATGCTATGTTTTAATAATTGAACTGGAAAAGAGCTTGATATGGAGATGTCTCATGTCAAGAGAACCACTCCACTCCTCTTTATTCAGAGATTTAATGAATAAAGGTCTGTCCTACCCTACAGAAAGGAGTGAAAACCTGTAAATGTTACACAGGTGTCACTGTAGCATGTTCAGGTTAATGGAAAACAGGGAACAGCCAGGGAAGGCTGATGTGGATTTGAATGGTAGATATAGGTGACAAGTAAGTTCTCACCCAAAAAGCAGGTAGGTGCTAAATGCTGTTAGAAACTCACTTTCTGATGACCTAAGTTAGGCTTCTCCACTGGTCCAGCTCACTTTTGTGATCACCTTTTAGGAAGCTGATATGATGATATGTTGTTACTTTTGTTGAGATGTAATTTCTGTGGATGCCTCTTTCTTCCAATATATTGCTGCTTCCTTCATTGCCACCTTTCCTCTCCTTGTATGTTCTTCTAATCAGTTCTGTGGAAGAGTTACTTACAGGTACTAATTTGGAGTACTTGGGCTTTAAGTCCTCCAGGGGTTGGTTTGAAGAACTCCCTGACTAGAGAGGGAGCTTAAGAATGTTGATCTTTGCTCTATTTTAAAAGCAAGTAATCTCAAAAATCCTTGTATTCAAGTATGCTGTAAAGCTGCTTCTGCTACATCTGTCCTAGGAAGTGTGTTGACACTTGAATCTTCTCAAATACACTTTCAAGCATACCCATTTTGGGTTTCTTGCTGGTGTTCTGAATAGGTTGTTGCTCATTTTCAGCTCTTTGTGCATTGCTTATATGATCTTTTCACCATACTATCAAGGACAGTGGAATTTTACTTTGCTTTTCTTTTGCTTCCCAATAAAATAGATGAAGTAATAAGATTGGAAATATTGCCACTTATGTTTGAATATGCTTGTCTTGCTCTGCAGCCAGCTACCTCCTTCCACCAGTGAATCATGTGAATTTGATGACCCAAGACTGCTGCAAAACATTGAAAACGACCATGTAAGTCTACTCTTTGAGTATTGTGTTTCTTAAACACACTATTCTCTCTCTGGAATTGAGTGAAACAAATGTATTTTTGTGATTGCTCTGTGGCTGTGTCATGCATGCACAGAGGGTGTAAAAAGGAAACAAAATAGCTCTTCCCAATGCCTTTCTGCCCACTTGTCTTACTACTGAATTAAAACAACAATGACATTAGTATGGATACCAGCTAGCTGCAAAACAGCTTCATATATGCTACTGTATGTGGAAGATGTCTTGTAGCAAATGATGGTAGAAATTGTAATTTTTTAAAATAACTACTTAGAGTGTTCAAACATCCATAATGTTCAAGTACCATTTTAGCAGTAATTAAGAGCATTGCAAGGTGGTCCTGGTGTGGGACTTGCTTTAAATACAGCAAATATTGGGAATTCCAGTTGCGTAAAGGATGTAATAGACAGGACTTAATTGCAAGCTTAAGCTTAGCCTGACAATTAGTGATCTTAGCCTAGCTGGTTGTGCCCTAAAGGGACCTCGTCACAGAATCACAGAACGTTAGAGATTGGAAGGGACCTCGAAAGATCATCTAGTCCAATCCCCCTGCCGGAGCAGGAACACCTAGATCAGATCACACAGGAATGCATCCAGGCGGGCTTTGAATGTCTCCAGAGAAGGAGACTCCACAACCTCTCTGGGCAGCCTGTTCCAGCGCTCTGTCACCCTCACTGTGAAGAAGTTTTTTCTCATATTCAAGTGGGACCTCCTGTGTTCCAGCTTGAACCCATTGCCCCTTGTCCTATCACTGGATGTCACAAAGAAGAGCCTGGCTCTGTCCTCCTGACGCTCACCCTTTACATATTTATAAACATTGATTAGGTCACCCCTCAGTCTCCTCTTTTCCAGGCTAAAGAGACCCAGCTCCCTCAGCCTTTCCTCATAAGGGAGATGCTCCATTCCCTTCATCATCTTTGTGGCTCTGTGCTGGACTCTCTCCAGCAGTTCTCTGTCCCTCTTGAACTGAGGGGCCCAGAACTGGACCCAATATTCCAGATGCGGTCTCACCAGGGCAGAGTAGAGGGGGAGGAGAACCTCTCTCGACCTACTGACCACCCCCCTTCTGATACACCCCAGGATGCCATTGGCCTTCTTGGCCGCGAGGGCACAGTGCTCGTCCTTGGAGTGTCAGTTCATTGCTTATTTAGAAACCATGCAGCTATGAAGTGTCTGGACACCAGACCATTCAAGTCACTTGCAAAAAAAAAAAAGACCCTTTTCTGCAGAAGCTGTCCCACAGTAGGGGATCTCGGCATTGGCAAGCACAAACTCAAATGACCAGTTCCATTACCTGATTGCTTTCATAACTTCTGTAACTGAGCTGGTTAAGCTTAGTATGAACATGCAAAATATAGTTTAAACATACTGTTTGTGTACAGCAAAGCTTGGATTTCGGTGTTGCTTTACACTACTTAAGAACTTGAAATGCAACATGGTGTAAATGCCAGAAGGATTATTTAGTTGCTTTGTGTGGCTCTATGTATTCATCAGGGTGATAAAGCCTGAAGATGGATCCTGTGCCCTAACCTTCAGGAAGGTTGCCCTCCTAGGCCAATGTGCTGGTTTCCTGTGTGGCTTTTGTAATCATCTGCACTGGAAGAATTTTCCACTGGATATCACTTGCAGCCAAGATTTGGGTTGCCTCCTGTTCCTTTGCATTCTGTTTGTTCATGTATGGCTACAATTGTAGTTTGACAGTTTTCTGACTCCAGGTACTCATTCTGAATGGAAGGCTAATGTTTTAGGTGCAGGCTGCAGATACTGTGTTTGAGCTCTTCCTCACTGGCTGTTGCTGTAGGCACCTATACAGAAAAGTGCTTTGGTACATTTTAATAGACTCAGCAGAAGGGACATATATCAGATGGGCTGTGAGATGGAATTTCTCATCTATGGCTCCTTAACTTTAGGCTATGTCTGATTCTTTGATCTCTGGGGGTAGAGCTTTTACTTAGAGAGAAAGGAGGACTATTTGCTATTTTAGTAGGCAAATAAATGATTTTGGTATCTTCCTTAGCTGTTACTTAGTCTAGACAGCTCAGAAGTCTGTTCTTTACATGCTAAACTCTTAGGTATAAAGTTTCCTTTTGACGGGCAACTTGAACAGGTAAATACTGTTGTCATTGCACAGCTGACTGTTGGGCTGAGGACACTGAACTCAACCCTCAGACAATCAGTGGGGAAACTTCTGCCTTATAAGACTTAAGATGTACCTTGTGTAGGTCAAAGATATCTTTTGGAGCTTGACTGTACTGGAGGAATGGATGCTACTCACTGACTAGTGGTGATTTAGCACAAGACATAAGAATGCAAGGGCCACATGTGGTTGTTTTCCTCGGAAGTTCAAGTCTGTCTGTCAGACTGCATTGGTGAGATGAGGGCTGGATTCCAGGATAGTGAGAGGGAAGATCATGTGTTTCTAGCTTTTTGCATTATGCACCTTAACAGCTGACCTCAACTGCTTCCTTCTACCTCAACTCCTTAGTGTCTTAGTTTTTGTAGCTAGTAGATAGCTGCAAATGCCATTTACAGATGTCTGACAATCTCTACTCATTCAGTGAACTGAGGTGATAAAACTGAAGTGTTCCAGCACAAGCTGCCTTGTAAGGTCACATGGTGCTGTACTCAGCTGGGCAACAAATTGCCTTGAAACAGTTGCCCTTTTTACAGCTGAAGTTGTCAATGTACTATTTCTTACAAATGCTCAATAAGTGCTCATTGCTCTAGTCTTGAAGATTTGGGTTTTTTTCAATCCAGTTGCAAGTGTTAGTTTAGAGCTGTCTCAGTGCCAAGTAATTTTCTTTCCAGGTTGAAAAAAAAAAATAATGTACTTCTCATGAGACAGTCTTCCATCTGTTAGGAAGTTTTTTAGCATCCTGCATCACCTCTAAATTTCATAGCTCTTCTGGGCCACTGGTGTGTAAGGACTGACTGACTGGCCAAGTCTGCTCTTGAGTAACAGTCAAAGAATTATTGCCCTGCAGGAAGTGTTCCAAGGAAAAATAACTTGATCTGAAAATGCATGGAGGCTTCTCTGGGATTTTAATGTGGAAGAAAGTACCTAGGGTTGTCTGCTTGTGCTTTTTCTTGTATCAGCTTCTGTTGGATGAACTGTGCAGCAGTGCCAAGAGTATGATGCTGGCTTATTTCTATAGGGAAAACAGTGTAAACTCTTACTAGAATTAGAAAAGATCAGTTATTTCCAAAAACTTGAAAGAAATTTTGGTGAATATGCTAGATGGTCTTTATCTTGGTGCTTGTGAGTTGCATGTGTGCTGTGAATAAACTCATTGTGGAGATGCAAGCCTGTTTGGTGTGAGGTTATTTTCTACCCTGATGCAAGTTCAGGCAAGGAGGTCAAGAAGGAAGAGAAGCAAGAAACTTGGATCTTGTCCTAGACTTTTGTCTACCTGGATTCTCTCACAATTTCCTCTACTAATTCTAGTCTGCCTATAAACTCTGGCCTGCAAGCATATGGTGTAGTTGGAAATGTGTGAATTGATTTAGTGAGTATGTGTGATGAGCAGCTGCCCAGTGTGAACAGGTAACTATTGTGCTCATGTTGAGCCTTTACTTCAGTGAAAGTGTTCATTTAGCTCTCTAATGTGTCTGCTTATTTTTGTCAAGTGTGTTGGAACTGAGGCTTTTATCCCATCAGGCTTTGAAATCACCACTATCGTCAGCTGATTCTAGTTATTTAGGAAAGCAGCACAAGAAAAGCATATCACTACTGGAATGAAAAGCTGAAATTTAAAGTACAGTAGGGGGAAAATGCGTTCAGGTGATGAGAATCTCTGGGAAGCCTTAGTTCAGAAAGTAACTGTTGCCTGGGAAGTGTCCAAACATATTGTTTTACAGCTGACATTGTTGTAGCTTAGAAATATTTTTCACTCTTCTTTTGCCCTTATTGTGCATGGGACTCTAATACTTTCCCTTTGCTCAAGTACAAGGCAGTATCTTTAGTTATAGGTCATATTTTGATGGCTCTGGACAGTATAAACTTGCATTTAACCAGCACTTGAATATCAATGGAGTTAATGTGTTCTTTGAGTCTGTGCCTGAAATATCCTGATTCCCTCCAGCCTTATCAGCTTTACTGTTGATGCCCAACATGGCTGGATCCTCACACTGTTTTGCAGGTATTTCAATGAACAATCGGGAAGTTCATAGGTTTTTGGGACAATGAGTAGTCATTCTCCCTGGTAATGAAATGGATAAGTATTTAACTAGCTGTCCTTGTCAGAATGTGCCACACTTATGCAAAGCAGTAAGCTCAAGTTGTTAGGCTGTGCCTTAATACCCCATTGGCCATTTCGAGGCCATTTGCTGAAAAACCTGTCAGTCCTGCTCATCTGGAAATACTGTGAATGGAGGCACTGATCTGATACTGCTACAAGTAAAAGGAGAAATAAATGTATCTTTAACTTCAAGTGCAACTTCCCTGTAATTTTATCAGACTGTAAACAGTTGGCTAGAATAATGCAGTTTCTGTCTTAAGAGTAAGGAGGCTCAGTTAAGGACATGCATGACAAATGTGCAAATATGTAGCTCTGCGGAGTGCAGCTTCTTCCCCAAAAGACTGAGTTTTGACTCAGTGTTTTGTTCTTTCTGAATAAGGGAGAACATGAAGTGATGAAAACTTATGATATGGTTTCCTGACCAGTGGTCTATGCCCTGCTTGATAGTGGATAATACTGTGCCTTCTAGACAGGGAAACCTTGCTTTCAGTGTAGATAATGCTTTGTACATAACAATCCAGAGACTGCTCCCAGAAATACGAGACTGTCTCAATGTGTCTGTGTTCTCAGCCTGTAGGGGCAGTCTGCAAAGGAAGTTCAGCCAGTGGGGTATATTGCTGGTGTAGGTGTTTGTACACCAGCTGTTCAGTGGATCTTTGGAAAAGATAGAGAAAGAGAAGGAATCACTTTCAGCCAGAGCTGTTAGCACACAGGGAGAGAAAACAAGGGGAGAAGGCACTTAGAATGAGAGCTACCTGTGAACAGATGAACAAAAGACTAAAACATGCGAACTTTGTTCCTGCTACAGACAGAGAAAGAAAAAATGGGGTGGGAAGAAATAGAACAGAGCTTGACAAATGAGCAGGCAAGGAATGTCCCACAGAGACCATCAGTAAGAACTGGAGTACAAAAATGGCACAGACTTGCTTTAGTAGAGGAAAATAATAAAGCAGAATCGGTTAACCGGTGGGACTTCTGTCTTATGCAGGGGTTAAGCTTTGTGTGATGTAAGGGATGTGTTGCTACAGAAGCCATTAATGAATTTTCTGTTCACAGCTCTGGTGTAGGAGTTGGAATTCTTTATCCTCGTTCATGCCAGTGCAATAAATATTGTGTCAGTGCTGGAACAATATCGAAGGGAAACAAATTACAGCTGTGTGGAAGAGCTGATGTGATAAGCTGGGCCTCTGTCTGGTGATCTCTTGCTATAGAATTGGAAGATTGCCATGTAATCCATTGTGACTTGTGAAAATGCCAAGACAGTAACAAATTACATTGCTGGCTTGAAAGCAGAAAGGATATACATAGGATTAAAATATGACACTACCGGAGACAGGTTGTTTCCAGCTGATAGCGCACATACTATGAAAATGTGTAAGTGGCTAGGTGATAGGCATGTAAGAAGGACATCAGAGGTCTGTAGCAATGGATGCCGAAATGAGAATCTGTCAGGCTGTGCATTTTGATGTGGAGATACAACTTTCATTGCTTTCACTGGAAATAATGGAGCAGCAGTAACCTTCTGACCAGTAATTTGAAGTGGACTTAACATTTCACACGCTACTCTACCTTTATTTTCCATCTGTTCATTTTCTTGAATGCAGCTTTTGTACTCCAGCATGTCAAAAGCTACCACTGTTGTTATTTTAGTGCTGTGTGATCAAACAATTCAAAAGTTTTAGTACGCAAAGGCGAAGGTCCTGTGTGAGACAGTTATTTTTAAAATATTCATGACAAAGTACATGAAGTAAAACAAGAATGTAAGTATTGGATCTGCAGTCTTTCTGTTCCACTTCTTTTTTTCTGACATGCTTGCTTTTTGTTTGTGTGTTAACATATTGGCCAACTGACATTTTGTGTCTTTCATAGTAATTTACTTCCTACTAATTAAACCTTGCTATTGCCAGTGCATCCTTCTGTTGTACGTGTGTGTAGGCTGCATATACCATATTGAAAAAACAAACAAGAACTGAACAGTTTCTTCCTCTTCTTGGTCTTGTCCCTGAAATAGGTCTTGAGATAGAACAAAACTTTTTTTGTTTTTGTCACATAGTTTGGCTTGGGGAGAGAAGCATTAACATGCCTGAGAACCAATTGTGAATGCTGCTGGCCTGATTGTGAGAAGCTGCACTTTAAGTGCCCTTCTAACTGTGAAATGGAGGAGTCTTTAATGTTTCAGTAGTTCTTCGAGGTTAAAGAGTTTTATAAAATAACTATGTAGTGCATTTCAGGTTGTAGGACTGCATATATTTGTAGAAAAATAGATGTAATACGAGTCTCTTGCATCAGAGGATTTTGGTAGCATGTAGCTCTTGCATTAACAAGTTTCATTTGAACATTGTAGCCTTTTTTCAGTTGTGAAACATTCTGGTCTACACTAGCAGAATAGGCTGTATAGAAGCATCTTTTAATTAATTGTTTTTGAAAAAACTTGGATCCTGTTTTACTAGAATCTTGTAGGATTCTTTGCCATCTAATCTTGATTTTAGTATTACTGTAGTGGGGTTTTAGCCCAACCTTGTGCTAACAACTGTTGTCATGCTCTTGATTTTTGTAATAGTTCTATCTTAACAGAGTATATAAAAAAATGATATGTTAACGACAACTTTGGAAACTAGTTGATATACTCATATGCAAAAATTCAGCGAGAGTTTTCAGTCAAATAAGGCTTTATGCAAAGGTGCAACTGCTACATTCATGTCTGACTCAGTCAGTGAGCAATCACCTGCTGTGATGCAAGATTCTGATGCTACCAACTGTGGATGTTATGGATATAGCGGAGTTGAAGGGGAACATGTGTTCACTTCAGCTGTTTCAGCCAAGTGTCTTAAAGATCTGTGAACTGTGGGTGAAGTTGGTATGGCAGGTTGTGAGCTGGGTAGCTGAGTATTGTTCCTGACTGCGATGGGACTGTAAATGCTGTGCCAGAGGCAGGGGTGGAAAGGAGGTAAGAATGGGATGGGGGATTCCATTTCAAGTCACTGTAGCTACAGTTGCCAGAATTTGCTGATCAAAGGATTTAAGTGCTGTAGCATCTTCACTGAGTTTGAGACCTGGTGTCTGTTTAAGCACTTTGGGATGGCTGATGACTAAGCAGTCTGCGAACAATGTTTTATATTGTGTGTTTTCATGATGCTGAATGTGTAGGGACCATTGATCAATTCTGCTTGGCTGGATGATGTATTCCTGTGGAAGAGCCCATGATGTTGCTTTCTACTGGCTCATCAGATGCTGTCAGTTCTGGATGTTCATTGATAATGGTGCCATTGCAATGAGTCTAATTCTGGTGTGGTTACTGTCAATCTGTTGAAAAATGTTGTGGAAGGTGTCAAAGTAGTATTTTCTATTGCTTCATTGGCATCAGCATCGTGTGGCAGACATCTTTGCCTATATGAAGCTTAGGGTGCAACAAAACTGTTTCTGTATTTGGGGGATGGGGGAATAGTCTGGCTTCCCAGCTCTCTGCAACTTAAGTGAGGTCTTTATCGTTAGCACTCTAGGTTCATTAATGCTGGCCCTGAACTCTGCTGTATCTGAGACCAAGACAACTACTCTATTTAGAGAATATGATTTTTTTTTGTATGTGGTACCAAAGAGGTCGTCTTGGGTTGGTGAACAGCTGCCCCTCGGTATGTATGTAATACTAAACCTGACTCTCTTGATGTCTTGCCTAGCCCACAGCTGTGCACATACAGGAGTTCCTCACTCTGCTGGCCGTGTGTCATACTGTCGTTCCTGAGAGACAAGGAAATAAAATAATCTACCAGGCCTCTTCTCCAGGTTGGTTGTTGCTGTCTTTTTGGGGAAGGAAGGAGTGAGTGAGTAGAAGTAGATGGAGAGGGAGAAAAGGAGAGTCTAGAAATTTCTGAAAAGGTCATTGATTTTAAAAGCAAGATGTCCTCCAAGGTGCTAGCAGTAGATCTGGCATCTTCTGTCACTAGTGCACACTGCTTTTGAATGCCTCATACAAAACTGCCAAGTCCATGGTGTTTCTGTAGAGCTAGGCTAGGCTTATCCCTTCTGCTCTCATGAGACCATCTACTCTGGCCTCTGTCTGCAGGCATGAAAAGCAAAAGTAAAATTTTCAGTGGCTTATTTTATGACCTGTGGAAGTGCTGATTTGTTTCTGCATAGACAGTTACTTGCTCTATTTGGCATGAGTGCAAACTGTCTTGATCTAGTAGCTTCTTGTGTTGCTTTATGCAGATAGAAGATGCTGATACATGACAATACAACAAAGAGCAAAGTCTTGGCCATATTTGGGCCTACTCTTCACCCATTTCTTCTTTCAGGCAAGCGCAGTGGTACTGAAAGAGAGGTAGGGCCCAAAATGTGGAACAGTATGGCCCTGCTCTCCATCAAATTTATCTCAATTTCTAAGGATGTTTTCCAGAGTTATGGTGATACATTTAGTGATAAAGCAGCAGCATTTCTTAATAGAGTGTATGAAGAGTCAGGTGAACAGCCCACGTAAGGCAGCTCTAGTCGGTGTTGATGAACTGTGAAGAGACCAAGGGAGCTGTGGAGCTATTGTGGTTCCTTGAGCTAGGCACTAAATTAGCTTGTATAGTGCTTGTGCTTAATGCCATTTTCTCTTTAGTGAGGCTGTATAACTATACACTAAAGGTAAAGGTGTTGGCTTTGGTTTGAGCTCTTAATGACACTACCCAGTTCAGTCTCCAGAAGACAATTCTGTACTTATTTCTATAGCATCTGAACTTAGTGCCTTTACAGCTGGAAATGTATTAAATGTGTGTTGTAGGAATTAAGAATAACACAGCTTCGGTCTTGCTTTCAGAACAGGTATTTCTCTTCTTTCATGTAGAGAAGTATGACTCCTCCACAACAGTAGAATTTAGGGCTTCAGTAGTGTTACAGGTTGTTTTATACAGATTGAGTATGAAGTTTGTGTAGATGATATTACGTGGCCTTTGTAGGACTCAAATGTGAATGTTCTTATGGAAGTGTGTGCAGAGCTACTCTAGCAGCCCTACAGATGTTGGAGTACATGGGGAAGGGGGGCTTCTGTCTTTCCGAGCAGTGCGGCATATTGAAGTGTGGGCTTTGCAGGCCTTTTCTACATACCAGATTAAATTTAAACTTTTCTTGGCAGATGAAGGAGCATTAGTGAAAGGAGCAAAAAAACTTGGTTATGTCTTCACAGGACGAACTCCACATTCGGTTATCATTGATGCGGTAAGTCGTAGATGTGCATGGCATAGACTGCAAAGTTCATGGGCAGCATAAATGTCTCCTGTGTGGCTCTTGGGAGGCCTTTGCCTGTAGCATCCTAAAGGTCCTGTAAAAGGCTTTTGCAGACTGGGAAAAGCTGTCTTAATCTGTTTTTAGAGGCAAAGTCCTCTGCCCTCCTGTGTGGCATGGGCAATAGGATGTCACAGGCTTATATGGGAAATGACAGCAGTTGTGCCTGAAGAATATTTCCTTTGCCTGAGAAGCACAGATGAGCACACTCACATCAAAAGGAAATTAATGTGTTTGGGAGATTTTTCTATGATGTTCAACAGTTACTGTACTTCTAAATGTTTATTGTATTAAAATGGTATTGTTCTTCTGAATAAGACCTTCTACACAAGATCTATCTGCTTAACAAGCTCTGTATGCAGGGGTACATAGTTAACAGATTAGAATTGACACAGGCAGTTTTGAACTCATGGGGCCATGTTCTAACTTAAGTTGCAGTCCAAGCTAAAGTGGCTCCAGATTTACACAGGTGCAACTAAGGTGAGAACTTTGGAATAGATAGTAGGGTGATTATTAAGAATAATAGTGAGTTTTTGTCCTTCCTCCCAGGTACATTAACTTTCAAGTTTCCTGGTATACTGCCAAGCTTAGCATTTAAAATGTATTCTTCCAGGAGTTGTCACAAACTTTTTACAACTACTCAGAAAACTGCTGCTTAGTTTAAGGGGGAGAGTTTAGCATGAGCAGTGTTGTCTAGAGCTATCTAGGCTCTTGTTTCTTCAGGAAGACTGAGGCCCGCCTGACTTGGTTTTGTATTCCTCATACATGCTAAGCTGGGAGCAAGGTCAGTCTACAGTCAGCAATAAAAGCTGTCACTCCCAGAGGTTCCTGTCTCCATTGCCTGCCTCTGTGGCAGTACATGGAACACAGGTTGGAGATGGCTTTTGGCCTTGGGGATATTCCTGAATTGCTGTGTGCCTCATAGGACATAACTCTGTACTGCGATTAGGTTTTGCTACAGCCCTTGCTTTAACCACTTGCTACAAATACTACTGGAGTTCTGAGACTCCAGTAACTGCCACTGCTTCTACTATCCGTTATACAACAGGAATGGCAAAGACAAGGCATTTCAAAATCCTTTCCTCTAAGGTTCCTCATGCTCAAACCCAGTGAGCAGTTGGTGATAACAGAAATTACTCCTCAGTTAAACATTTTTTTGCCACAAAATATGTAATCTAATGCGCTTTTAAATTCAAGTGAATGAAATATTAAGGTAGTTCAGACAAAAGTTATTGTAATAGTACATCTGGATGGCATGTTTATTTTAACTTGGAATAATGCTCCCAGCTGTAGTATCTCTTATGTCTTAAGTCATCAACTGTGCAGCTTGAATTTCAGACCATGCTTATCCTTCTAGAGTAAGATATTAGTTCCTTGAAGTGGTGTAAAGATAGTAAATGGAGGGTGCCACAATATTACATATTCAATTAAGATTAGAATGCCTTCATTAAATAGGGCTCTACATAGCTTTTACCAGGAGAGGGAGCTATTACCACACTTTATTTGCCCTGGGATGCCTGAACAAAGGTGTTTAAACAACTTGCATGTTAACATGGGTAAGAATATACTGCAATTTATCCTTATGATAGTATATGCTTTCTTTTGTAGCTGGGAAAAGAAAAAACCTTTGAAATTCTTAATGTACTGGAGTTTTCCAGGTAAGTTTTTTTTCTCTAATGTACTAAATGCATAGTAACAAGAAAACCACATTTGTAAAGATTTTATTGTGAATAAAAAGATTCAGCTGATGTAATAGAAAAGCTGAACTTCCATAATTTCATCCTGCCCCCCTTCTCCTCGTTTCCAATATGGGACTAATACCAAGCTTCTTACAAACCAGTGGCTGTTGGCATGTAAGCATGAAGCTCTCCACTGCTATTCTAGCTCTGGCTTATTGAGAAATTGCTGTCCTGAAAGTGTCAGTTCTGTGCCTCAGTGTTTTCCTGATGTGTCACTTGTCTACTTCAAGAACGTGCTTTGAGATTGCACTTCTATAGTGCTTCTGTAAATTAGTTGGTTTTGAGTAGGTGGAATCTATAACTGGAGGGCTTTTTGGTGTCCCTTTTGAAGAACCCGTCCAGCTGTGAAAAACTAAACCTTGCAAGCACTCCTGACTTTTCAGGATAGTGAGGATGGGCACTGCTCAGGTAGCAAGACGCTTTGTGTGATAAATCAGGCCCTTAAATCACTGGAGATGATGATAAAAGGTGCTTTCTCTTTGTCAGTCTAAGTTTTGTCAGTTTGGATGGTGTGCTAGTGAGCAGGCTTTTTTGCTGTTTTTTTCTACTATTACTGTGGCTTAAAGCCTTGAAGTCTGGTTCTCTGCCTGCTTTGAGTTGGCTGGTTCTGCTCTAGAGGAGTGTGTAAAACTGAAGTCAGGGAAGATTTGGATAGGCAGCTTTTTTTGTGTTCTGACTTGCTTTGGCGATTACTCTTGACTACTTGCTCCTTTTCAGAATGTAGCTACTTAAGCTACTTGGGGAATATCTAAAAAGGTGCTGGAAGAGTCTCTTACAGTTTCTGACAAGTTGACCAGTACTCTGGTGTCTGTAGATAAGAGTACTGTAGCCTGCATGCAGCAGAAAAAGAAAGCAGTCTTGGCTCTTCTCTGTGTGTAGCAACTTCCCACTTGATTAGTGAGGGAGTTCCTCTAATTAGATTTCAAAAAGCACAAGGAAGTTTCCTAGTGTCATGAGCTTGCTGCAGAAATTCTGGGCACAGCTAATTGCTGTCCTTACAAGCTTTCTTTAGAAAGTCTCAGAAAGGATTGTTTTGTCTGATATATGCCAAAAGCTTACTTTCTCACACATGGCTCTTGAGCCTTGAAAAGGTGTTAGATCTCCCAGAGCAACTTCAGAGGAAGAGGAGGAAGATTGCTTTGCACTCTGATCTGTTTGTACATATTGGCAAGAAGGAAAAAAGGAAGGAGGATGCTTCCAACTTTTTCTTTTGCTAAGGAAAAGAGTTATAGTTACAGATTATTTCTTCTGAATATGAAACCACATGTTCTTAGGGTTCTCTTGATGAGAGTTCATTTGCTTGCTTCTGCCTCTTAGAAGCTGCAGTTTTTCCAGTGGCTCTTTTAAAGGAGCGATAAGTGAAATGCTGAAATTGATCTTGGAAAAAAAAAATATCCCTGCTTACCTTCCTTTGTGTGATGGGATAGCCCTTGGCTCGGCACCAAGCCACACACACCTGCTCACACAGTTCCTGCCCCCACCCAATGATAGGGGAGAGAATTAAGGGGGTAAATGGGAAAGAGGACTCGTGGGTTGAGATAAGGACAATTTAATAACTCAACTACAAAAGTAAACTACAATAATATTGAAAATAATACTATATACAAATGAGTGATACACAGTGACACTGCCCTCCCTACCCAATGACCAAAGGCCCAGCCTGCTCCCGGCCAACTATCTCGGAGAAGGGAGAGAATGTGTGATACACAGTGATACTGCCGCCCCCCCCCCCACTCAATGACCAAAGGCTCAGCCTGTTGCTGGCTAACGATCCCAGAATTACACTCATGATTCCCCCAGATGGGGGGTGCACCGCTCCCGGAGGCACTCATGGAATGGAGATAACATTCCCAGCATCCTGGACCAAGAGCTGACCGGAGTGGGGGGAAAACAACCACCTGGCCCCAGCTACCGATCCCCCTGGAGAGGGAGGGTCCTGAAACTCATGGAACAGAGATAACGATTCGAGCATCCCAGACTGACCGGAATGTGTGGTGGGGGGCGGGGGGGGGAAGGCCTTGGGAGAGCGATGCGGAACCAGAAGAGAGCACCGAAAGTGAAGCGAAGGCGAAAGAGAATGCTCTTCCGGGAGTTCTTACCTATATACTGGGTGTGATGTGCATGTTGTGGAATACCATTGGTCACTCTGGTTCTCAATCTTAATCTCAGAGCAAATCCCAGGCTAGCAGCTGGACTGTGTCTCTTTGCTTGTCTGCCGACCTTGGCAGCAGAAAAATCATTCTTCTTATCAGCTCTTCTCCTGAGCATAAATCCAGAACACAGCCTCTTGCTAGCTATTTATGAAGAAGAGGGGAAAAAAAATTAATAGTTAAGTTTAAGCAGTCTGTGCTTAACCCAGGACACTTGGTTAAACATCTGTGTACAGTATGCTACTGTTTAACTTTATGTTAAAAATATATCCTGAATTTTACTAGCTTGATATGTAGCCCTGTCAGGGTCTGACATAATCAGACCTATATGGTTGGGATTAGATGAATATAAAAATCTATAGGAAGGCCAAGAGCTGGTCTATTCCATGAATCCTTTTTATGACGCTTCTGCATTCTTTTGACTTAGGAAGTTAAATAACTGCCTTTTTCGATGGTGGTTTTTTCGATATCTGTTATGAATAGAATAAATACACATTCAACCTTAATTTCTAGCCTGAGTCCCCACAACTATTTTGCTTGAGGAACAGGGAAGAACAGAATAAGTGTGACTTCTTTCAAGAGGATTTCTGTGCCATCTCGCTCTTTTCCAAATTCTCACCTTTGGGTTCAAGTCTGTGTTCTGGCTGAGTGCTCACCAAGGAGAGCCATAGCGCTGAAGCTGGAAATGGGCACTTCAGTATTTCTGTTCGCTGGCAAGTATTGTGGGGTATTAAGTTACTACTGTTACATCTCACCTGATGTCAGATGTATTGAACACATCTGAGAAAACTCACTGGCCAGAACAGGACTTACTCTTCATCACTATGACTAACGGAAGGAAATATTTTTCTTTCAATAGCAACAGGAAGAGAATGTCAGTGATTGTTCGAACTCCAGCAGGACAGCTACGTCTCTACTGCAAGGGGGCTGTAAGTAATTATGCTACCTAATGGAGAACTAACACTACCACTTATTGTTTCAACAGCTGTGACTGATGCTGGCATTGCATGTCTTGTACACAATACCTGTTGGCTTGCTGTTTAGGGCCAAGTGATTTAAGAGATCTGTCATTCTTTTTCTGTCTCTTTTTGCAGACAGGAAGATCGCTAGGTTTTCTACTACCCCGTTGCAATCCTGAAACTAATGGGAGCAGTACCCTTTACTTACAGGCAGGATTTCACCCAGCTGTGCAGCAGCAGTTCAGGAGCTAGACTAAATGATGTTGTCTGAATCTGTAATACTAAAATCTGTTCTCAAGTGGTTGGCTTTTGATCTGGCTCTGTTGCATCTCTGCACCTGCTGTTATCTGTCATCATGACTTGCACCATGTTGTGCTTCTGTCTTCACTGACAAGAGCAATAACTTATGAAAGTAACAAAGGCTGCAAAACTACCATTGACTATGGCCAGAGGGTGTTTCTAATTTCAATAGAAAACTATGGAGGTGGCTTTTTGCAACAGGGAGAACTACTTTTGACTTGTGTAAGGCTGTGGTTTACTTGAAGTTGTCCTGACATAGCACTGCTCTGGTGCTTCAGTTTAACTCTCCTGATCTGGCAAAGATGTGCTGGCTTCATGCTGCTGTGGCAGGAGTGAATTAAGCCCACTGTCAGCATGTAGTATTTCAAAGGGTTATGTGTAGAACTGCCCAGATCTGTAATGGTTTGTCTTCAGTCACTTCTCATACTGTGCCTGTATTTGCAGTTTCTTGACGTGCGGCACCGGAAGGGATGGAAAACAGGAGAGTTTGTAGTCTAAATTTTCATGCTGTCTTCTGTATGAGCAGGCTTAGTTGTCTAACAGAGCAAAGGGGTTGTAGTAATTAGTGTAATCTGGTGTTTTCTCTTATATGTTTTGCTGCATCCACCACTTGCCTCAATTATTCTACATGAACTCTTCTGTATCCTCGTAGTCCTCTCCTGTCCTGTCACTTAATCATAAATTACTTGTTTTGTATGCCTGTCTCTAATCAATGTTAGGTGTAGGCCTGTTTACTTAGTTTAAGAGTATGTATTTGAGCAAAAGTAGGGCTTGTGTATTTTACGTGTGTGTAACAACTTGTTCTGGTAGTTGCAGAATAAAATCCAGAGACTCTAGATATGCAGGTGGTGGTACTGCATTTTGATTGTAACTGTTATTTGTGCCTTTTCAATTGCCCTTTGTTTTAGTGATAAAGTTGCTGCAGGAGGAAGGCTATCTCAGAGAGTTTTGTGGTAGAATCTGTTCAGTGTTTCTGCCTTGTATTTTTTAACATCAGTGTGAATCTTTTCTAGAAAGGATAGCAAGAAGCTCTTCTGTATGAGAACACCATGTGTACTGATTATGATGAGGCACTTGTCTCAAAAATCAATGTCTCCACTTAGTAATTCAGCAAGGAGTGTTCTGTATTGCCCAGTAATGAGGACCACTTTATGGAAAGAGGAGAGGAGGGCAGTATGTTTTTCTATCCCCATTATTTAAAGTGGATGCAGTATCTCTGCCACTGGGCACAACCCAGATCATTTACTCAAACCAGAGTCTCTAAAACCCAAATGCATTACTTCTAAATGTAGTCTTGGGTTCTGATGTTAGCAAGTCCACTCAGGTTTATTCAGTTAAGCTTGTAAACACACAAATGGAAACTTCATATGTAGACTTACACTGTTGTAATGATTTTGGTTTTAATAGGATAATGTAATTTTTGAGAGGCTTTCAAAAGATTCCCAGTATATGGAGCAAACACTGTGCCATCTTGAGTACTTCGCAACAGAAGGTAAGAGAAACAGCATGTTATGAGAATTCGGTTTATCAAGTTTGCAGTATGTTCTGCATTGTCTAAGCTTTGCAGAGCCAAATAAGATGGTTATGAAGATGAGGTTAGAAGTGCTATGTAATCAGCAAATTAACAAGTCTAGGATAATTTTAAGCCTAAGGTAGCTTGTACCCTACTTCTGCTTCCATGTGATTTTGGTAGGCAAGTGGAATTTAGAAGAAAAAGATGGGGATTTGTGTCCATGATGAGGTGAAAGGTCAGAATACCTCTGTTACATTGGAGTTAGAGCTGTTTTTACCAGTGTAAAAGTTGGGTGACGAAGTTCCTGGTTTTATGAGGCAGAGTGATAACCTGAATGTGCTGAGAAGCCTGGAGGACCAACACATCAAAGATGTCTGATCTGAAATAGTCTCTAAGGTGTTTGTGACTGATGTAAAACCTCTGTTCACAGGGAAGTACTTGGCTTTGTTCCCTCTTCTGCAGTAGCATTAAATATTTGTGTTATACTAAAACCGTGAACCAGTGGTTTTCTTCCTAAATCTAAACCCGTTATTTATTCAGCTTTTTTAAAGGAAAATATTTTTTGCAGACTAGCACATTCCCAGTAATTAAACCTCTGTGTCTTATGGCACATACTCCTTTCTGCTTGACTCATGCCAGAAAAAAAATTGTTACTTCTGTATGTTAGTTTTTGTCAGTGGTATAATAAAATGATTTTCCTGCCTCATGGACCCTATTCTCTACTGTTTTGTGTGTGTCTAGCTCTCATTATTAATGTGAGTTATGTGCATACACTGAAGGAGAAAACAGTCTTGCTAAAAGGAAATGTGAGCTGTGCAGTCTATTTGGCTGAGTTGTATCTCCAATCATAATATATAGCCAGTTCTTTGTTTAATTTGATCTTTTTTAAAATGCATGAAAACCAAGCTTGCTTTCATACTTAAACTAAAAAGATTAAAGATGACACTTGTGTTGCTCCAGTATGGCTAGACTGCATTACTGAAAACTGGGGAGAAGCTTGTGCCTCTGAGGCTCACTCTTGATTTGCACCACTGATAATGTAAATGAGCCAGGCTCATGCCTTGCATTTGTGAAAATTCAAATGCTTTAAAAATGTTCAGGGAGATTCTGTCTGGAACCCAGAGTTTAACAAACTGCATTAAAAGCTCCTGTTGGTTCCAGTGAGACAGTTAGAATTTAGCACTGATTAGGGCATAATGATTGGCTGCTGCTCAGTGTAATTTTATTGTGTGTAATGGCTGTCTTCTGTTTTATAGGTCTGAGGACTTTGTGCATTGCTTATGCAGACCTGTCAGAAAACTCCTACAAAGAGTGGTTGAATGTCTACAATGAAAGCAGTACGGTTCTGAAAGACAGAACTCAGAAGCTGGAGGAATGCTATGAGATCATTGAGAAGGTAAAATGCATACCTTTTGGAGAATCAGACACAGATTCCCTTACATGTCTTTTTCCATGAAATCTAGGCTTTATACAGTAAAACTGTAAATTAAGGAGAAACTGAAAAGCAACCTGTGCAGTCCATAGACCTCTCAAATTTTAGTTTCTAAATTTGAGACAACCTTATGTATAAACGGTCATTGCTACTTACTCTTTTCTCACACTTTTTGTCTTGCTATCTTCTTTAAGGTTGATGTAACTTGATGAAGATAACATAAAAAAATCATTGTGTTGCACCAAGGTCCCATATACTAGTATATGAAAATAAATTTGTTCTGTTTCATAAAGCACTCATAGTTCAGGCTTTCTGGAGGCTGTTGTAGACACTGTAGTGACATGAAGTGCTCACCGAGGCGTGTAGTTGCACACACTAAAAGAAAGTGAAAACCTGCACTCTTCATTCTAATTGCAGAGCTCATAATTCTGGAAGGGGAAAGCAGGTATTGGAAAATTAGTTTGAAACTCTGTAATCCCACACTGAATGAGATGTTAAAATGTCAACACTGGAGGACAGTGTTTCTTTGATACTTGTTGGTCTTGCTGGGTTCTGAAATGCTGGTAGTCGCACTTCTCACCTGTTCATGCTGTTTCCCTTTGCTCCGGTTATTTCACTCTCATTTTGTTCAGTGGTTTATTTTGATCACTCCTTGCACTTCAGTTGCTTTTGTTAATTAGTATTAATAATACAGCTTAAGTTGTGGAGCACTGTTGACTGGTTATTTAAGTTAGTTGAGGCAGGAGAGAGGAGGAAGCTGAAACAAGGATGGGAGCTAGCTTTCACAGGGTAGTGGAAAAATTCCAAGGACTTTAAGTGACAACTAAAGACTGGGTCTTTCTTTTCAAACCAATGACTAAATCTCCTCTTCTGTTGATTGGCCAGTCAGTAGCAGTGTGGTTGTCTGATCCTTGATTCTGTAGATTTATAGCTAATTTCAGTTTTCTGCAATCTGCACTGTGCTCTTCTATGCCTCTGTTTTCACTGAGGAGAAAAATGATCATGGGTGATCAATCCCTTAGTGTGGATTGATTATCTCACTTTAAAATGTGTTCTCAAACCTTAGATTGCTTTTGGCCACCTACCTTCTGCCTCTTTTTACAGTTTAATATCTTGAAAAAAGGGTACCCTTGAGTGAGTTGCAGAATTGGAGTTTTGGACTTAGTGCCATATTGGTAGGAAATATCCCCTGTATTCCTTTCCTGTTCGTGTTTGCTTGCTGGTTGTACCAAGGAGCAGGGAATTGTACTTGAAATTTTTTTTTTCTTAGAGCTGGTATTTCCCAGGTTGAATTCTCTGGTTTGGGGGTACTTCTTTCTAGGTAATAAACTGGCTTGTGGCTGTAAATGTGTGAATATATAAATACATAAAATGTAAAGTATTTTTTTATCTAAGGGGCCAAATGAGAAGGGGAGAGCTACTTTATCAGTCTGAGTGAGGTCACTGAGTCATAGTACAGGTGCACATGTGGAGACAAACTTGAACTGGCTTCCTTCACCACCTGTACACCAACTGAGAGGGCTTCAGTAGGTGCAATAGTCACTCCCTGCTGGGGTAGCTCAGCTGCGCTGATCCCTGTGCTGTTATGTTTATCTGCTTAACAAGTGAGTTTGGAAACATAAGACAGTCTGCAGCTGCACACTGGGATTGTGTTTGTTTACTTCAAATGCTGTTAGCATTGGTAGGGCTGATGTTTCATCAGGAGGCTATAGGGTATTAAAGCAAATGGTGTATGGAAGTTGATTCTGCTACCTTTACCAGCTGAATAACTGATAGCAAAACTTAAACCTTGTCAAGACTTGTAACTAATGCCAGCTTGCACACCTGTATGAGTAACAACTTCCCCTTCTGTTCCTCATTTATGTATAGATGCATTCAAGTAGGAGCTGTTCTAAGGCCCTCTTCACAGAATCACAGAATGGTTTGGGTTGGAAGGGACCTTTTAAAGATCTAGTTCCAACCCCCTTGCTATGGGGCTAGGACATCCTTCACTAGACCAGGTTGCTCAAAGCTCCTTTCAGCCTTGAACGTTTCCAGGGATGAGGCATTCACAAATTCTCTGGGCAACCTGTTATAGTGTTTCACCACTCTCATAGTGTAAAAAAATTTCCTTTTTATGTCCAATCTAAATCTACCCTCTTTCAGTTTAAAATCATTGCCCCTTGTCCTGCCACTGCAGGTCTTGGTAAACAGTCTTTCTCTATCTTTCTTGTAAGCCCCCTTTATATATGGAAAGGCCACAATAAGATTTGCCTGGAGCCTTTTCTTCTCCAGGCTGAACACCACCAACTCTACTTTTGTTCACTTCATCTGTTTTCACTTGTTTTGAATAATTATAGTTCCTATGAAGAATAGAAGCTGTGACTTTTTCTGTGCAATTCCTGAAATTATACAGTATAAGTAAACTGAATTTGTATCAATTTCTTTTAAATTGAACATCTCTACATGTGTAAGGAATCATTAAAATGCTTTTGAAGTAAAAATCTGCTGCGTAGATTGTATGCTTTGACAAGGCTTATTTGTTGGGTATTTTTCTCTGCCTGTCTTTTTTTCCCCTGTAACATGGCCAAATCTCTTCAAGCAATTGCTTTAGAATTGCGTAAGAATATGGCTAACCCTGCAGTATTAAATTTGTTGTACGAGACATGTTTTTCTGGCAGATATCTGTATGTAGGCTAGAGATACTTGGATTGATGTTGATACCACTTGTATTACATAAATGTAGTGATTATATCCATAAATAGTTGCAATAATTTTTGCTTTGAGTGATTATATTCAGTCTGTATGTACAGTTAATGGAAGGGAAATTAGTTTAAATGATGTGATGCCAGGTGACTTTTGTTTTGTGAGCTTAAGAAATATATAAACTGTGACCACTCATGTTGCTATGGTGATTAGTGAATGCTCTAGTATATATGTTCATCCATAGGCTAGCTTTGGAGTTGTACAACTTCAATTAGTTGCTCCTGAAACATTGCCATCTTTCTGATCAGAAACACTCGGTTCCATTCGGTACCTCTTGAAATGTGAATTGTATGCAGAGGAAGTAGAATAGCCACACCAGAAACTTTAGGGTATTGCTTGTCAAAATTCTGTATTAGCAATGAGGTGCAACATGCTGTCTTTAATTCTTTTTTGAGTATGTTCCAAACAGAGGTTTGTCTTAAAAACAGTCCCTCAAATTCTTTTTTTTCCAGGATTTGCTGCTTCTTGGAGCTACAGCTATTGAAGACCGCCTGCAAGCAGGTGTTCCAGAAACAATAGCCACGCTAATGAAGGCAGAAATTAAGATATGGATTCTGACAGGAGACAAACAGGAAACAGCTCTCAATATAGGTATGTCTTTCTGGTTACTCTGAATTTGTCTGATATGTGTCAGGTTACATACTAAATCTGCTGTGTGGGGTGTTAAACAAAAACAGGTGTGCTTTTTATAGAATGGTTCCTTGGTAGCAGACAAGCATGTGGTAGGCTTCACTTTGGAGAAGGAAGGGTTTGGAGTGAAATCTTTGCTCTGAGTGTCAAGCTATATTTGTGTGTTTTGTTTTTTTTTTTAAGGCAAAAGGGGCACTTCCGCTCTTGGTTAAGTGCAATTCTTCTATGGAGCTAATATAGGTAACTATGTATTCTGATGGAAACAGGAGAGCTCAACTAGATGTGATGGGTTAGCCCTTGGCTGGGGGTCAAACCACACACCTGCTCACACAATTCATGCCCCCAGCCGAGGACAGGGGAAGAGTTAAAGGTATAGTACGTAAAGGTTCTGACTGGGCAGGACCAGCCCAATTGGTAGATCCTCTAGTGTTGACTAGCCAAGTGGCTATTGCTAAATGTATCCCAGTTTTTGGGGTAAAGGGGAAAAAAGGACTCATGGGTTGAGATAAGGACAATTTAATAACTAAACTACAATAATATTGAAAATAATACTATATACAAAGGAGTGATACACAGTGATACTGCCCCCCCTCCCCCGATAAAGGACTCAGCCTGTTCCCAGCTAACAATCCCAAGGCTAACGATCCCGGAGCAGGGAAAATCAATCCCAGAACAGATTCCCCCAGGCAGGGGGTGCACCATTCCCGGAGGCCCCACACTCAAGATTCCCCTAGGCTAGGGGTGCACCGCTCCCGGAGGCGCTCACAGAATGGAGATAACAGTCCGAGCGTGCCAGACCGAGAGCTGACGGGGGTGGGGGGAGGCCTTGGGAGAGTGGCCACATGGAGCGAGATGGCCCAGAGCAAAAGAGATCCGGAACCAAAAGGGCCGATCTTCCGGAGGATCCTCACCTATATACTGGGCATGACGTGTATGTTATGGAATAGATTATTGGCTATTCTGTTTCAATTCTGAACCTAAGATCAAATCTTAGGCTAGTAAACAAGCTGTGTTCCCTCCCCCCCATCTGCAGGGAGCAGAGCAGCTGAAAGTCCTTGGGTATTGAAGTATCCTGGCAACAAGTGTAAACATCACTTCTTTATCAGCTTTCTTCTGAGCACAAATCCGAAACACAGCCTCTTGCTAGCTATTATGAAGAAAGTTAACTCTGTCTCAGCTTAACCCAGGACACCAGACTCTAATACACAGTTATACTGTGCATTGTATCAAACTATTTTGAAGTTTTTTTATTATCTTAATGACTGCCTTTTCCAGACTCTAATGGAGTTTGGGATATGATGAGAAATGTGGTAATACAAAACATACAGCTTACAACTTCTTGCAAACCTCATCTATGAAAGTACTTGGATGCTTGAATAACTGCTTCTGCTGTCACCTTATGGCACAACTGTTAGTCATGTATGGTGTGATAGTTAGTGTGTGTTGCTCCTATTGAGTATATGGGTAGAGTGTAGTATGGATTGTTTCATCAAGGCACAACTTGTCTCAAACTTGTTGATGCATCTTAACTTACCAAGTATGCTCTTTGTAATGCAAATGAAATGTGGCAGTGATGTGAATAAAAAGAACAAATTAAAGTATTGATCAGACAGGTGTGCTTGAGTACTGAGGGAGTGGTAACCTATTTAAGACATGGGTGTTTATCTTGGGTGTTTTGCAGCTTGAAGAGTTTTGGCCCCATACATTTAGGTTTGTTACTAGAAGCAGCCCTTAAACATTAGGTTTCCTTTTTAGTCATACATGTATCTGATAAAATCACTCTATATCCTTTGTCTGTACTATTTTTAATTTGTCAAATACAAGAATTTTACTGTAAGGCTGGGCTGAACTGGAGGTGTACGTTGTAATTTCAATCCTATGGCAACTAAATGTTGTGCTCTGTAGCGCTTATACTATTATGCTAGTCTTGCACTGGATATGCTACGTTCGTAGGTCTGGCAGATACTCAACTCAAATTCTTCAGCCTTTTTTCTCACAATGGATGCTTGCAAGGTGGGCAGCCTGGGTAGCGATACTTTGTGCTGCTGTGCTTGAAATGCTGATTTGTCAGCTACGCCTATGCTGCCACAATGCTGTAGACCTTCACACAACACTAGTCATCTCCTAGGAGAGGGGCTATCCTGGTCTTAATTGAGTAGTAGAGACTTAGTAAAGGAACAGATCCACACGTTGCCCCTGCCCCCCCATCCCATATCTCCTAAATATAGCATCCTTGCAGTATAGTGCCATGATATTCTTGTATTCTTTTTCATGTTTTTTTCTCCCTGTAACTGGTAGATCTGTCCAGAGATGGAAAGAGGCAGAGTGGCACTCTAGTGATCTGACATCTTGCAGAACAGAGTGGCACTTGTTTCTTAAGTCTAGAACACTCTGCTTATCCCTACTGTCTCTAATGTGCTTGTGTAGGGTGCCACAGCTGCATTCAGATTTGCAGATTAGTCTGTTTAGATGCACAGGTGCAGATTAAGGGGATCCTTAACAACATAGGTTGCCTTCTATTGAAGGAGCTATTTCTTCAGTGTTTTCAAGCTCACGTTGATTTCAAGATTCTATATGAAGAATGTGACTGATGAAGCTTTTTATATACAGAACTGCATGTAGATGGGTCTGGGTGTATGCCAGGCTGCTCCTGGCAGAACTGTGATGCTCTGTAACTGAACTTGCATTACCTTTACCAAAAGTTTTGGGCATTTGCTATTTTTGTCTGGTTTTTAATTTTTTTTCTGCTTTGGTTGGTTTAGTGGAATTTCAGAATGTAGTCTGTTTGACTGACAAGATTTTTGTTTACTTATCAAAACTGAATCAAGTTTCATATGTCTTCATGGTACCAAGAGATAAAGTAACTTACTGAACTGATACAGTTATAGTAGAAACAAGGTGAATGGCTTAAGTAGACAATTGATTTAAGTTCTAGTTGTCTGGTTTGAATTACTGTCCGAAGATTTTGCTTTCTTTAAAAGCAGTAGTTAACTTGAGAGGAGAAATGCATCATCTTTTGACAAATGAAAAAAATGTAGTTACAGATTTTGGCATAAATATCTGAAATAAGGTGATATATTAACTTGACAGCAGCTAGCCTGAACACAAGTAAATGTGCTTTACAGCAAATGCTTGCTCCAAAGGTTGTGATGGAGACTAACTTTCAGCTTTTCTGTAAAACTGTTATTTTTTTTTTCTGGTGGCAACTTGAAAAGAATAAACATCTCCCTGAACTTTTAATTTATCAGTTTGTTTACTGTGCAATTTGGTAGTAAAATTCTGGAATTTAATTAGCTTCATGTTCAACTTGGCTTGAAAGCACAAACATGTGGCATCCTTCCAGTTTTTGTATGTAACCCATTAAAACTGTATCAAACATTCAACTTAATGCAGTCCACAAGTACACTTAATGCTTCAGGTGTAAATATGTTATCTGAGGGGTAAAAAGTGTTGTCACTTTCTCATTGTGTGTGGAGGCTATACTTAGGGACTCTTGGTTGCTATATGGCTATGCGTATTTCTTGAGAGATTTGAGCTCTTGGCAGCTGCCCCACGGAGTGGGAGTACTTTTTTCTTCCAGCTTCCTCTTGATTATTTGGCCTTCTGAGTTTGTGTGTCTGTCTCTGAATTGTGTTCTTGACTTCTGAAGAGTAATGATTGACCTTACTGTGGGGTGGTTACATGCCTTCCACTCAGCCATGTGCCAGCCAATAGTTCTACAGGTGAGGAGTGTGTTCCTGATTAAGCTTTAATATTCATCGACCATTTGAACTCTCTACCTACAGAAAATAGGAGTTCCAAGTTGGGAAGCAACTTTAAGCATGACATAGGGTCTTCAGTTTTTATCAGCTGAAACAGCCCTTTGCCAGTGTTGGCAAACAACTCTAGAAGGCTTAGCAATGTTCTTGTAGCTTCATTTTTCTCTTGAAACAATCTGCACACTCTGGATCTTTGCCTTTCAGTGAGGAAAAAAAAAAAAATCCAAATCAACACCACCCCGTGGCAGACTTCTGTTTCCCACCATCCTGGTGCTCAGCATCCCAGAAAATCAGAACTCATGTACTTTTAGCCAATAACTTTCTCAGTAACAGATGATTTTCTGGGAAAAGGAATGAGTTTACTGAAGTGCATCATTCCCTTAAACAAGGAATTACTCTATACAGTTGAGTGAAGTGCTCTTACCTAGAACATTTATTTGTAGCTGTGGGCACTGCCTTACAGTCATAAGATAGTTTGGGTTGGAAGGGACCTTTGAAGATCTAGTCCAATCCTCCTCATGGCAGGATTTCACTAGATCATGTTGCTCAAAGTCCCATGCAGCCTGACCTTGAACACTTCCCGTGTAAGGGCATCCCTAACTTCTCTGGGCAATCTGTTGCAGTCTCACCAGCCTCATCATAAAAAAAATTGTGCCTTATGTCCAGTCTAAACCTATCCTCTTCCAGATTAAAACTGTTGCCCCTTGACCTGCTACTACAGACCTTGGTAGAAAGTCTTTTTTGTAAGCCGTCTTTACATATTGAAAGGTATCCCCAGAGCTTTGCCTTCTCCAGGCTGAACAAGCCCAACTCTCTCACCCTTTTTTCAAAGGAGAGGTGTTCCATTCCTCCGATTGCTTTTGTGGCCCTTCTCAGGACCTCTGCTGTAACAGGTTCTTGTCTGTCTTGTGCTGGGGGCCCCAGAGCTGGATGCAGTACTCCAAGTGGGGTCTCGTATCAAGTTTTTAATCCACCAGTATCCCCAGGTACTTCTCAGTAGGGCTGCTCTCAATCTGTTCATCCCCCAGTCTGTACTGATTGATACTTTAGATTGCTGCAACCCAGGTGCAGAACCTTGCACTTGGCCTTGTTGAACTTGATGAGGTTTGCATGGGCCCACTCCTCAAGCCGGTCAAGTTCCTTCTGGATGGCATCCCTTACCTCCATGGTGTCAACTGCACCATACAACTTGATGTCAACTGCAAGTTTGCTGAGACTGCATTCAATCCTACTGTCTGTCATTTATGAAGACACTAAATAGTGTTGGTCCTGGGACTGACCCCTGAGGGACTCCGCTCATTCCTGGTTTCCACTTGTACATTGAGCCATTGACTGTAACACTTTGGACATGGCCATCCAGCCAATTAATTATCTGTCTAACAGTCCATCCATCAAATCCGTATTTCTACAATTTAGAAGTAAGAATACTTCAGTTAGAGTGAGCCATGACTTTTCAGTGGAGGGATTGGAAGCAATGCCTGCATGCTAGCCTGAATCCCTATGAAGTTCGTGCAGGGCATATGTGCCCTCTCTAAACAGAGGATAATCATTCTTCCCTCAGATGCTGGATTCTGTCTGCCTGCGGTACGAATGTGCCTGTGGGCTATGATCTTGAACTCTGGTTCAAGCTATGTTTCTCCCAGGACACTTGAAGGGAAATAAGTCCCAGAAGTACCCAATTCATCTGCTTCATGGACTTTTAGTCAGACTTTTAAATTAAAGAGCTAGATATCAACTTACAGGTGTGGATTGACATTTTATACCTGCTTTGAACCAATAGTTGATTTTATTCTGCTTAGAAGCACTGACAAAAATATTCCCTGATTTTAGTGTATTTTTGCTTGCCATGTTATTACTGCCAGTAATAACTATTATGAAACTTTAAAATATGACTGCAAATGTCACTTGTAATCTTACAGTTGCCAGGTACTTTGCTTCATACTAGTACTAGATATTAACATCTTCAAAGTCCTGACATTGTGGATAACGTGTAGATCTCCTGAAAACTATTGTTAGGTTTGACTTATTTTCCTGTTCCAATCTTGATCTTACTCTTTAATGTGATGCCAAGGTGCAAAACTACCTTAATTGCAGGATTAGTTCTTCTGACTCCATGACTTCCAAGATGCACAGCAGAGCAACTCTGTTTTCCAGGGTCTTTTTTTGGCTCCACTTGTCAAGTGGCATCTTGGTTGTTTTGAAGGAGGTAAAATGAAACGGTGAACAGCGGCTTAGAAAGTACGGCTTGCTATTGCAGCTACTGTTCCAATCAAATGCTACTAGAAAATTCTTTTGAATTAGTTATACTGAATTTGTAACAGCCCACTGTACAAGACTGTTGCCATTCCCCAGGGAAAGAATAACCCTGACATGGAGGGAAGTGCTTAAGTTTGTAATATTCTATTTTTCTCCTCAGTAAAATTAAGGAAGTTGTTCTTCAGCCTGGGACTAACTTTTAAAAGTGGCAAACTGACTTTTTTCTCAAGTGAGTGTTTTGTCTATGCCTATTGAAGCTTCATTACTCATTACTTCATTACCACCTAAGACTTGTTCACAGCAGACTTGGAGAATATCTGCAGAGCTTTCATGTTGTAGGCTGCACTTCATTAGAATCGAAGTAATCCTTTTCCCAATAGCTGTGTGTGCATTCAGTGCCATTCTCTGTTGTTCTCTAAAGCAGAAAATAAACTTTAGCTCATTAACACACATAAGATGAAAATGTATCTGCAAAGTTGCCCCTGATATTCATATTCCACACAGCTGTGAAAATAGAAAAACAAAATTTCTGCAGGTAATCAGCTCTTCTGCCTGAAAGTGCTTAGCTATGTGATACAAGCATGCCTTCCACAAAGGAAGATGAGGGATTTGCTTTCTTGACTAAGATGTTCATTCAGGCATATTAGCCCTGGATTATACCTACAAAACTATCCCAATTATAAAAATTCTGTAGCCTGAGAAAATCAGTTGCATTGCAATGGATGAGGCAGTGTGACCTTCCTAAGGAATCAAGAATCCCACAGAAAATAAATTCATGCCTCAGTTGTTCTCTTGTTGTTGTGAGGTATGGAGAGAGATACTTAATCTTTTTACATTGACTCTGCTGTTCTGCTTCTGAACCTGCCGGCCTTGCAGTGGTTCATCACTGGGACATCACTGCAGTAGGTTCCAGTCTCCATTTAAGAAAAGTAAAAAAACTTCCTGAGACCTCTTTTTATGACAAGAATTTCTTAACTTGTGATTCATTTCTATACAAAAGCACAGTAGGAATACAAAATAACTTCATTGTATTTCCTTTTCCTGTGTAACTTACATCAGCAATAAAAGGAATGTGCTTCAAATAAATGAATTCTCTGATGTATTATGAAGCTACATGACTGTGCCAATCCCAAGACAATTTGCATGAACTTTTATGAAAATGCAGTGGGGTCAGTCTGCAAGTTTGCATTTGTTTCCTGCCATTAATATGAGCTAGAATGAAACTGTTTATTCTGTAAATGCCAAGTATATATGTCTGGGATATGACGTTGTCTCACATCAGTGACAATTGTGTAGCAGAAGAATTGCCACCGCAGTGGCATTGAGGCTTTTACTATTACAGAAATAAGAGGCTTTTTTCTGTCTTGAGAGTTTTTGCTTCGGGTTTTGTTGTCCTGGCAAATGTGCAGAACAGCCTTCTGAGTGTTGCTCCAGACAATGGCAACTTGCTCTTGTTCTTTCATATCCCAATCCTACACTAAGAATGATCTAGTACAATTACCTGATGCCTGTAGGAGTTGGTAAGGACTCTGTGTGTATCATTGATATGTATTTTTTGATGAAGCTCAAGATGTTTCACACGAAACTCCCCAGAGTAAAAATGCTCGTGTAACCTGAGTGTGGGCTAAGGGGACTGGGTACCACCAACTGATTCAATGTGTGTGCTTCCAGTCATGTGGCATAGCTGCTACTGTGCATTCAGATCTGTTCCTGTAATGTGTTGAAGGCAGAATCGCCTTCATGTAGATGAAAAAGAAAAGTTAAAGTATATTAATATTTAATTTTGCTGCATCTAGTTCATATGGTGTTCTCTGTTGTTAAAAAAAAAAACTCAAGTGGTGTATTTGGAAATGCAGATAAAATGCAGCCTCTGCTAGTAAAATTGTCAAGTTGGAGTGTGTCCTATGCACCAGTTCTTCCAGTAGCCTGCCTGATAGGAGTAACAACTCAAAAAGTAAACTGCAATCTGAGTTGCAGATGCTCCTTTTAAGGTCTAGCAAAACCTTAAATATTCTTCCAAAAAGTTAAATCCTTCTGTGTTTTCTCTTGCAGGGTATTCTTGCAGACTTATTTCACAGAGTATGTCTCTAATCCTGGTCAATGAGGATTCATTAGATGTAAGTATGCAAATTTTGGTGTAATTCTTGGCAGCAGGTGTTGCTAACAAAAGGGAAAGTTGCTGAGTTTTCTCACTGTATTTCTCTTAATTGCCTTTAGGGCTAGCAAGATAAACAATTCATGCTAAAACAGGGGTGGGTTGTACAAAATGTACTCCTGAGGTCTCCGGTCCCAAGCTGTACAGATCAAACTCAAGTCTCAGAACAAGAAACTTATTAGGTCCATGGGTTTGATTCTGCTGTGACCTGATGAAGCCTGCAGTATGTCATTGGGAACATAGTTAGGCTTTAAGGTGTAGTTATAGGAGTAACATGTTTGAAGAAGAAAAAAAAGCTAAAAGACTCATTTTGACATAATAAACTATCTTCAGCATTGTATGGAACAGCTGTAATGAAATCTGTGCCAGAGCAAGCTGTATTGTGAGCTTGCCTACGTACAGCTTTTGAAACCTAAAAGTTGTATCAAAAGACTGCCTGCAAGTGGTTGCCGTGCTACTTGGGCATGTGCAAAAATGAACTAGAAAAATCATACACTTGTAAATTAATCTTGGCAGATCTTGTTTCCAGTTTGCCTGTTTCAGCATCAGTATCAGCATTTGATGTCACTTGAATATCTGATTGCTATTAGAGGTATTCATAGGACAGATGAAAAGATCTGTAATAGGCAGCATCTGATACTTGTACTTAGAGTTGGTAATTTATCCTCTTTGTCTTGATGGGAGATGCAAAGCCTGTATCTTTGAGTATCAAAGGAGTTACCTGTAAATCTGATGGAAGAGGGGAATAATATTGTGGCCAAGTAATCACCTGATTAGCACTATTCCCTAGTTGTGTCTACATGATGTAGTTAACAGCAGCCTTGACAGTGTTTTCAGTCCAGACTCAAGTTCTTTGTATGTGCTTGTGGCACCTCAAGGCCTAGTGTTTTAGCTCATGAGAGCTTGAGGGATCCCAGTGAATCCAAAGGGAGATCTGCCTCCAGAGGCTAGGTTACTAGTTTCCATGCAGTATAATGCACCCTGATGGGAGCTGTTTCACTGAGTTCTAGCAATGGACTGTGTTAGTTCTCATGCACGAGTTAAGTTTTCTGTGTTTCTGCATAGTTAGAGACTTGCTCAGATAATTCTGCTGGGTTGATGACTTCCTGTTATATTTTTTTTTCAAACTCTTAACTGCATTAAGTGTGCGTAGATTGGAGTACATAAATTGTTTGAATCAAATATCTGCCAAATATCTAAACGCCCTTGATGAAGATTCTCATCTGTTCAGACAACCTTCTCTCTTTTTTCCATTTCTGTACAGTCTCTCTTTAAGGGAACTGCTGCCTTTTTGTGGGGTCAAAATACTCTGCTTTTGAGCTTTCTGACACACGTGACTGACTGAACCTCTTAACTTAAAGAAAGATGCAGAATCTCAGCAGAAAATGAGCAGCTGGTGGTCTTTGTTTCCTGAGACAAGAAGATTAGTTGGCTGGAATTATAGGAATAAGAAAACTTTGTGGGCTTTTTTTGTGGATGTATTGTGAACTCAACCTAGGAGAAGGAAAATGGTTGTGCTTTGTTTTAATTTTAAAAAAATTTCTTATACCTTCTGAAGCTCTGAAGTCTTTTGACCCTGGAAGTAAGGCCCTTATTTCAATCTGAATTAAAAGTAGTTCCTCTAAATTTGAAGAAACAAACAATGTGCCTCTTGTGATGTCTGTTTAGAAAAAATAGAAGACTTAGATTAAGATTCTTTATGGCTGAAGCAAGGGGTGCAAACTGAAGATGGGACAGAAGTTTGTGCTAGATCAGAGGAAGAAAATGGAGCTGACATTGCTTGGCATTTTGAAACATCTGGAACTAGTCCTCAAGCCATGTTAACTTCACTATTTCTGGTTTTGAATACAGTGATGTAGTGAGAGAGAGATATTGAGTGCCTCTGTGGTGAATATAGCACAGAAGGTGCTGAGTAGTACTTAACTTCAGCACCTGCTTTTAAATTGTGACTTCAGTTAATTGTCTAAAAGGAACATGATAGGGCAGGATGAACAATGAAATGGCTGACTATGGTATGCCCTAATGGCAAACACTTCAACCATGAGGTTTTCCTTTAAATGTCAAACAACAGTGTAGGCAGAACAATTCAATGATTTTCAGTAAGTGGTGAAAATGAACTTTCCTTCTCTGGTATGAAAGGTTGAACTTAAGAAGTGGGAAAAACGTGCTTAGATCAACTTTTTTTTCCTCCCTTTGGATCTTCAGCAGCAGGAGCAACTTGGTCCTGGCCTATACATAGAACCAGCCATGGTTAACTGGTGCGATTGCAATCTTATCTTGTTTGCAAAACTGACAGACTTAGTGAAGTGCATATCCTGTAGCTGTACAAAGGAATACACTTACATATATTGCTGTAGTATTTTTAGACTCCAAAAAGGTTTCTGTGTGTTAGTTTTAAAACTTGTCATGTTTTTCATTGCTTTACAAAAGTAGGGCTTTTAGCTAATTTTATCTATGCACTTGACATTCTTGAAATCCTATTAGATCCTTCTGCTATTTTGACAAGTCTTTGATTCTTCTTTTGAAACATGAGGAAATGGAAGCCTACGACAGACAGCTGGTTTTGATTCAGTAGATCCTATGTGATGTTTTAAAAGAGCTGCTTTAACAATAACTCATTTTGAGATCATATCTCTTTGGCTTGATCTGCTTGCAATTGATGGGCTGGTTTGTGGGTTTCGGGGAAGGCATGCTGACAGTCTCCTCACCTCCTCCTTTGCGTTCCCTTTTAGAGGGTCAGGTGCCTATTTGACAGCTTTAGTTGGAAACCTCTGTCTCAGTATATACACTAAATGCCAAACTAATTGTAACTAAGTGAAACATGTCCTTCTCCTTTAGATTTGTGCTCAGAATAAAAAATGGCTGTCAGAAAACAGAACTGGAGAAAGAAATAAGAGCTAAAGAATATAGGGTACAGGAATGAGAAAAACATAGCGTACTCCAAGAAAGTAGAGAGGGAGTCTCCTATTTTAAAATACCTGAAGGCTTATTTTAATTCTTCTCTGTTTTTAGCATAAGCACTTTTTCCCAAACTTTATCCAAGAGGTATGAAGGAAAGGTAATGTAATGTGGGAACTGAACTGGGAGAAGATGTAATTGACCAAAGCATCTCTTCTCACCTTCCCACATGCTGGCTTTGCAAATACTGTAGAGGGAGAAAATTTCACTTGGAGTGATAGATAGGACTCCTGCAGGAAGAAATTAATTAAGTAAATTAGAGTCTAAGTATTCCTTTCCCTGTCCAAGGGAGGGTATGAAAGGAAAAAAGGCAACAGCTCTACCCACCCACTTGCTGATTGTTGAATCCATTGCCATTTCAGATTGAAGTCTTCTGTGGCAGCAGCAGGAGGACAGGAATAAAGCTATCTCTGCTGCTTAGGAGATGGAGACTAGAATCAAGTGAGGAATAGTAGGGCAGGCAATTACTCTCATAATTTGTAAGCTTTCTCATAAGTAAAAGTGATGCTCCTGTTTTGAGGTGTTCTGATAACTACTTGAGAAGCAGAAACTGTAAGTCTGGAAAACTGAATACAGAAGTCTATATTTTCAGCAATATCCCAAAAATAATAGTTAATCTCTGTGTATGAACTCCAGAGAGTTAACTTTTAACTTCTTGAGAAACTAGACTACTTGAAGAGCTGTGCTACAAATGAGAAAATGGGTCCAGATTAAAAAAAAAGACAGTGATAAACTAAGAAACTGAATCGATTGAACAGTGTAGGAAGATTTTAGGTTATATTAGTCTTCATGATATGGATTAAGATAAGGAGATATTATAATGACTATTGTTACAACATTTTATTGACCATCTATCCTCTTACTATGTTGAAGTGCTGGTAGATGAATCTAACCAACAGTCTCCACTATGAACACCAAAGGTACATTGACAGATAGACTTCATGATAGTAGAGGGGGGTCACTGGTCACATGTAAAACACATGAAAATATTACTGGAGTCTCCTACGTCTCAATGCCAAAAAGCACTTCGGTTGGATAAATGGGAGTGGGGAGCCTATTTTCAGACCCTTAAGGGACTCTGTGTTTGTCTTCAGAGTGTGTGGGAATGGGAGACTTTCTGACTCTACAGAATACTGGCCATTAAGATAGATCAGTTTCTCTAATAAGAATAGTTAGTCATACTCATAAAGCATGACAAGTCAAGGATGACACCATTGGTAATGTGAGCTATTTCGTATGCATCTTACCATACAGCTCAGTCTAAGAAAACACTAGAATGAGAAGCCCTGATCAAATGTGGGTTGAAACTTCCAATCTTTTTGCCTGATCTCTGCCAACACAGAAAATAAATATGCAATCAGTTTTCTATCAGGCATACTTTAAAATCCCTAGATAAAAAAGGAAACTCTGTCATCATCTTTTCCCACCTGCTACCTCCAGTTATGTAGCTGAATGAGGAGTTCTGTGGAATACAGATTGCACAGCAGCTGCTCCTAATTTTTTCAGTGGGAATTGTAGTGTTGCTGATGGCTCATGCTGAATTGAATGCTTTACACCTTGGTTTTGGCCTCAACTGTGTTAAGTAGTATCACAGTACCCTTAAGGAGCCGCCCTTGCAGATAGCTGAAAATACTTTGCAGAACTCAGTGCTAAGAACTTAACCTTGGTGAATTATTGTCATTTGGTGCTTAGTGCACATGGTGGGGTAGTGGTGGTAGAATGGGGAGTGGGAAGAAACAATAGAGGGATTTCACCTGTACATAGCAATGTATCTTCCACATCTTCTAAATTTAGCTGCTTCCTTCTGGTTTCCCTTTCATGAGCCAAAAATACAGGCTAATATTACAACAGTTCTGAAAAAACTTAAAAGATTGGTGCCTTTATTTTTCATGCTTTTCGTTTGTGTAGCTTTATTTCTTTGAAATAACACGGCCTAAATTTTGCAATTGTAAAAAGCTGAGAACATATCTTTTCTGGTCCTGTAACTTTAGATAAGTCAGAGTT